AGGGGTTGGCTTGGAGACGAAGTGATGAACAGCGAAGATCTAGGGGAGAAGCCGGTTATGACGACGTCTTCAGCATCTTCTTCACATATTGTTGGTAATGATAAATGTCCAATGTTTGATTCAATGACGAGCACAATGACGTCTTCTGGATGCACAACTTATGCTAGTTCTGGTACCGATGCAGATAGTGTTTTTGTAATGGGCGATGAAATTGGTTTGTGAATTGACGTTCCCTCGGGAATCGGGGGAGTGTCGAAAAAAAAGAAAAAAAAAGAAAAGGGGGTCGTTCTATAAGAGTGTTTACGGTATTTTTTTTTTGGAATAACACCCAGAGACTCGAAGGAACTGTGTTTTTTCGGCACGTGTCCTGAGTCAATATCAATGTTATATCACCTGGATAATTGTAAAACAAGTAATAAACGCTCGCGCAACTCCTTCACGACACCAAAAGATCAAAGACTTCCGCGCACCGTTTCTATAGTTCACAATTGATAAGTGGTGGTGCACAATTGAAGAGAATGTGCCGACGCCACACTATAGGAATGAACGGAGGTGAGAAGATTTGAGAAGAAACAAAAAAGTAAGGAGGAGTGAACCCATTTCCTTTTGTCTGCCGACATTGACACGACGATGAAAAAGAAGCGGTATGTTAGCGAGGCTTCTTAACCTTGGGGTGGGACATGAAAAAACCAATGAAATCGAATGAAACGAAACGACGACGCTGATGGACGATGAATTACCATTTTTGGGCGTCGCAGAATGAAGTTTCTCGTTGACCGAGCAGAGGAAGGACGAACCCGAGATCTATCATGCGGTAAAAATGAATGAACTAAAAAGAAAAAGGCGGTTCATTAAATAGCCTTTCAGTTCTCACTGGAGATAAGATACGGCACAAGTTCATGAGTCGAAACAGCTCACTTACCTCCTATCGGGCTTATCTCTTCTTTTTGACGACGTCAGCCCTGAATACGCTACGACAAAAAATGACAGCTGTTGCCTCTCGGGGATCGTCGTCAAGCCATAAAAATCATTACAAACAAACGGAACAATGGGGTTGGCCGAACGAAAAAAGAAGAAGAAAACAGTACCCCTTCCTCTCAATTTCTCCGTTTCTTTGTATTCAGGCCTTTTATGAGATTTATAGCCATCTTCATTTCCTCCCAGTAATAGTACCACCTAGGTACTCTAAATGAGGATCGGAAGGTCATAAGGATGCGCAAAATAGAGAGCATTTTAAAAAAAGTACAGCATGCTGTGTATCGGAAGTAGAGAAGAAGCAAAGAGAAAAACGGTGTGTACCGGAATGGCAATTAACGACATAAGGAAAAGTAGGACAACGTGACATGCGGGTAGGTGGTATTTACAAGGAAGAATGAAACAGAACGAACTCTGTAGTGACTGAGACGAAATTTAAATCAAAATGGAAAACGCCTGTAAGAATGAACTTCACAACGGTCAGGGTGAGCACACACACAACAGAAGATAACTGAGCAGAAGTGGGAGGAGCCGAAGTTTATGTCGGTTAGAGCAGGAAGCAGGAGTGGAAGTGGAGAATGAATGATGGATGATGAGCACAGAAGACAACGACGAAATGAATATGCATTTTCCGAAATGATATATGAAGTGTGGTGAAGAAAAGTAAGAAGCAACAACTGATGTGGGGATTTAGGAAAGAATAGAGTGAAAGTATTCAGAATGCCCGCACGCAATTATATAGTACGATTTACTCATGGCTAGTCGAAACTTTTGACTTCTTCCTATAATATGGCGATGAGGATAAATAGCCCGACTAATTTGTCTTGAAGCCATAGTCGGAATAAACTAGAACGGTCGACGAAATGTACGAAGCGTCCAAAATAATATGAACACCACGAAGGGTTAGACAACCTGTACCATGGGTGGTAATGACACAAATAGGAACTGACTATCTGGTACAGTACCAGTTTCCTGTAGGAAGTTCTTGTAAAAAAACTGTCATATACGATTTAGCGCAAAAACGAGAGGAAACCATGTGTGTCTGTTGGAACGATGAGCGAATGAAAATGATGGACAGTTAAAGGTCTCGCTTGGAGGTGTTGACGTTGATGCAAGTGGAAATGGGAAAAAAGGATTAGGCAAGATAATGTCTATGGAGGAAATTGAAAGAAAGACCGTAAACGGAAAAAAATGGAAGAGAACTGAGATGGTATCGACCTATGTTCCCACACGGCTAATCTGATCTTCTAGGTACATATTGACAGGCTTGTGAAAGTTTTTCTTTTCAAACAACTCGAAGCGATCTGATACTGAAAACTCGACATGCAAATGTGTATTGTAAAACGAATATGCAGCTGACTGCCAGGCAGTTCGGCCATTTTTAAAGCAAAAATTGAGAACAACTGGTTACATCTCTGCATATAAATAGAGGATTAGATCTGGGCAGATACAACGTAATAATCTTGTATGCACAATTGTTGTTATACTATGGGAGAACAGAGATGAGGGAGCAATAAATTATTGAGTGTTACTAACAGACGTATTCAACCGGAGAGAGGGATGAACTGTCATGTAACCGGAAAAGGTGAAGAGACCTCATCCTACCTGGAAAACTCATCAAAGGTGTGAATGGCAGAACGGAAGTGCAGAAAGGGCTGTGAAACAAATGATAGAAAATTGTTTTCTACATTCTAAGAATAAAACAGTAGTGATTCTGCAATTGCATTTCGGTTTGTCACCTTCAAGAAAAGCCACCCAGTCTGACCTTAACTTGGAAGTCGTTGGGTGGGAAAACAAGAGGGAAGAACACGGCAGGGTGCCAACATTTACACTTTCTACACTTCTTTCTGTCTTGGAGAACAATGTGAAACCTGGTTTGTCGTGTACGTTTTCTGTCTCATGGCGACTTTTCAAAATAATTATTTGGGTCGGTACAGAAAGTAAACCCTAACTCATACATAACATTGGAAATTGGAATTTTTGGAAACATGCTTCAAAAACTTGGAAAAAGAACAACAGTGCGGTCGTAGTTTTGGGGATGGAGCAAATTGTGGGATACTTGAGAAAAGGAGTGAATCCGCGCGGAAACATTTTCCTCTCTCACCGCTCTTTGCTGTCCTTGTCCAACGTAAAACCAAAAACAATGGAAAGTAAAGTGAATGGAAGGAGAAAAAAGTAGATTTGGGCAAAGATGATGAAGAAGACACAAAAATTAATTTCACGAATTGAGGGAAGAATGAAATGTAAATGATAGCATGGCGGGAATACAGAATTGGCTTTGGGACTTTTCCACACTGATTTTAACCATGATTTTAATCAACAGAAGATCAACTAGATATTAAAAATGGAAACATATCCGTTGAAGCCAGTCATAGTTCTGATTAGCAAGAAGTTGCAAACTTTTGTTTTGTAATCGAACAAATGACAATTCGTCCTGATGTGCCAATCATCCCCTTTCTCTCTTCGTTCGGAGTGACATGTTACACTAAGAACGTTTCCAGATTGCCTCTGTTCGATTCTTCTTGAACCCAACGTGTTTTACACTTATCTGCGGGAAGTTCGGGATTTCGTCGCATTAGCTCAAGTAATGTCATGACGAGCATCATCGAACAGACAGAACTCGTTGTAAAAATTCGAAAAGTTACAAAGAAAATTATTGATTCACACACAAAAGTTTCAGCAATAACACCTATCATGCATTGAAGTTGACCAATAAGATACGAAATGAAATGGATAAAAATATGTATGCTTCATTATCTTATTCACAAGAATTTTATCACAACCAGAGCTCAAGCAAACGGATGTAAGGTAAAAATAGATTGGAGTGTTACAAGCGGTATAATAAATTATAAATATGAATTATCTTAAAGCTGTGAATTATCCCAAACCGTGGTCCTCGAAGAAGCCCTGTGGAGTTTCCTCTTCTTGGATCAAATCTTGAGCAGCGATAGCCTTCAGAACTTGCTTCTTACTGGTTTCTTGAATTTCCCCGGCGAGAAGGAACTCATCCAAGATGAAGTAAGCCTTCTCGAAGTTGAAAATTATATCCAGCTCGCAGACACTTCCGAAGTATTTGTCAAGAAGCTCGACGTACCGGTGGATAACTTCCAACGTGATCAATTCATTGTCGTTCTGCTCAATTGCACAGCAGAAGTAGAGTGAGGCGTATCTGAAAAATTTGGACAAGTTCGGAGGGATGAATGTTGAGAAGGTGCGAACGAAAAAAATATTGGTAATCGTAGAGACTTTACACACTGCGTTTTTATAATCTGGTTAATTTATTTTTGAGAAAAATATAGACTATACGGCTTTTTCTTCCCCGTTTCTATTGTCGAATTAAAAAAAGTGACACCTGAGAATTTGAAAACTTTTGCTTTTTTTGATCTACGAAAAAGTGCGGCAAAAACGTAATATTTTAGAATTTCGGCTCGTTCGAGCTACTTTCGTGTTTAATTTTAGTTTTTTGCTTAAACATAGATTCTAGAGATGCTAGCGATCGTTTTTATATCAAGGAATCAGAACTTTGTTCAGAAAATCCCACTAAATTCACATGAATAAATTTGTTGTCTACAGTATCCGTTTTCGCTCCGCCCCCTCGTAAATCGACACGAGCGCCGTCTCCGAGATTTTCAGGTGTCACTTTTTTTAATCCGACATTACTGCGTAAAAATTTTACCTTTTGTATACAACCTTCAGGTCCTTGTACTCGAGGAAAGCGCACATTTTTGGTTTTCTAGCCAGAATTTGAGTGATGAGTTCGCGACAAATTTTCTTCTTTTGCTGAAACATTAATTTAGTTGTAAGGAATTCGAAGTTCAACTTTAAAAAAAAGCCAATTACCTTATCGGGATATGCGGTGTACCATTTTTGTAGTCTCAACTTTCCCTGTCGACTGAAGAGAAGCATATATTGCATCATTTTGGCTGCAAACGAAGCAATTTTTTCTTTCAAGCAGGAAATTGCGAAAATGTGAAAATAGCTCGAAAAGCTGAAAAAATATCAAAATCGGTGACATGTGGCTTCATCGATATTTGCAACGACACTCCGTTCTCCCAGGCGCGCGCAGTTTAACGGCAAAGTTAACAGCAGAGCGCATTTGCATTGTCATCATTTTATTTTTCAAAGTCTCTCTTTTTCGTTATATTTTCCTGTTTTTATATTTATAGAGGTTTTGTCTATTATCATCCCCGTATTTGCTAACGTTAATATACGTTTTTCAGAATGGGACAGCAACAGTCTGGCTTCGGAGGAAGAGGTAACGACCGGGGATCCGGTGATAACGAAAAGAAAGAAAAGAAGAAGTATGAGGCTCCAATTCCATCAAGAATCGGAAAAAAGAAGAAGGGATCTAAAGGACCAGATGCCGCAAGCAAATTGCCAGCAGGTATAGTCTAAAAATTTGATTTCTCTACTGCATATTCACATTTCTAGTTACCCCACACGCCAGATGCCGTCTGAAGTTGTTGAAAAGTGAGAGAATCAAGGATTACTTGCTGATGGAGCAGGAATTCATCCAAAACCAAGAGCGTCTGAAGCCACAAGAGGAGAGACAGGAGGAAGAACGTGCTAAGGTTGATGAGCTTCGTGGAACTCCAATGGCTGTTGGATCATTGGAAGAAATTATTGATGATCAACATGCTATTGTTTCTACTGTAAGTTTATAATCGATGTTGATATCTGATTACTTTTTCCCGTTCAGAACGTCGGAAGTGAGCATTATGTCAACATCATGTCATTCGTAGACAAGGAACAGTTGGAACCAGGATGCTCTGTACTTCTCAACCACAAAAATCATGCAGTTATCGGAGTACTTTCCGATGACACTGACCCAATGGTATCTGTTATGAAACTCGAGAAAGCCCCACAGGAAACCTACGCAGATGTTGGAGGACTCGATCAACAAATTCAAGAAATCAAAGAAGCTGTTGAATTGCCTCTTACCCATCCTGAATACTATGAAGAAATGGGTATTCGGCCGCCAAAGGGAGTTATCCTCTACGGTTGCCCTGGTACTGGAAAGACCCTTCTAGCGAAAGCCGTAGCGAATCAAACATCAGCAACTTTCCTCCGTATTGTTGGATCAGAGCTTATCCAGAAATACCTCGGAGACGGACCAAAAATGGTTCGTGAGCTTTTCCGCGTCGCCGAGGAAAATGCACCATCAATCGTCTTCATCGACGAAATCGACGCTGTTGGAACGAAGCGTTACGATTCCAACTCTGGAGGAGAACGGGAAATTCAACGTACCATGCTTGAGCTTCTAAATCAGCTAGACGGATTCGACTCTCGTGGAGACGTGAAAGTGCTCATGGCTACAAACCGTATCGAGTCTCTCGACCCTGCATTGATCCGTCCAGGACGTATTGATCGTAAAATCGAGTTCCCATTGCCAGATGAGAAAACCAAGCGCCGCATCTTCCAGGTAATCACTGTTACTGACATGATAGAAGAAAGGAAAGCCGCTAATTTTCCAGATTCACACATCACGCATGACCCTTGGAGACGATGTGAACCTCGAAGAATTCATCACTGCTAAGGATGAGTTGAGTGGTGCTGACATCAAGGCAATGTGTACAGAAGCTGGTCTCCTGGCTCTCCGTGAACGTCGAATGCGTGTGACCATGGAGGATTTCCAGAAGTCCAAAGAAAATGTCCTTTACCGCAAGAAGGAAGGAGCCCCCGAAGAGCTCTACTTGTAAATGTGTCGTTTTTTATTTATTATCATTTCTTTTATGTCCACTCAACGATACCCCTTCCCTATAACCGATTTTAATGTATTTCCTGAATATTTCCCGAATGAGGTAAATGTTTCATCGAAAAATATGTGGTGATGTGACATTGGGGGAATTGTTGAACAGCTGGAAAGAAGATAAAAAAGAGAAACTGAATGGGAAAAGAAAATACAAAATTACCAGTAACGGAGGGGTGATGGATTCGGGAACGATGTTAAAGAGTGTTCGATTTGGGGACGATTTGAATCAGTTATCACAAAAATTGGGATCAGGGGTTGAGAGAGAAAGGAAAGTTGACATAGAAACTAAAAGTGAAAACTATGAAAATAGGAATGAAAACTGGCTGGGAGCAAGTGGTACGGAAGCAGAAACAATGTAATTAAAATAATTCCGAAAACTTGAGGAAATAAAAAAAAACCATTTTTATTTATTTATTGAAGTTGGAATTGTAATCTAGAGTGGGCGGAGATCAGCATCCGGAAGTGATTGAATTGGTGTTGGAGTTGAAACAAAGTTCATTGTTGGCTGGCCAGATGGTGTTAATCCAGTGTTTGTAGCAAGGAAATCGCCAACTGAAATGAAAAAGAAATATATTTGAAGAAATTTGAATTTAAGTTTCTTTTTAATCTTAAAAACTAACTTCCATCTCCTCCCATGAATAGGCTGCCTTGTCCATTTTGTGGTGTTTGCTGATATCTGCTTGGCGTATTGATTGGATGGTTCACTGGAGTTCTTGAAAGCATCGGAAGTGCTGACGGACGTTCAACGTCGTCAGTGGCCAACGAGGTGAGAGTACGATCCATCAACTCGATTTTTGGAATCTAAAATTATGGAATATTCAAATTTCTATTCAAAGTTTCAGAACAAACCTTAAGCTCTGGCTCAGCGAAAATGTTTTCAGATCGACTCATTGGGATCGGACCCGCGTTCGAATGCCTCATTTGCCCTGCATGCGAAATCGGAATGGATGTGATTATTTGCATTCCCGCGGAGCTCGTGCTTGCTGGCAAAGGTGGTGGTGGCATTGAGTTGTGGTTGCTACGATCCTTTTGAATACTGGAGATTGGTGGAAGGAACAACTGATCGATCGACGGTTTGTAGTCTTCGATTGGTGAGTGTTGTTCAGAAGATGACGATGAGTGGCTGGATTTGACGGAATACGGTACAGAGTCGGCACGTGGAGGTTGGACTCTTAATTGATGATGGAGTTGTTGAGTCTGATGAATTGGCGGTAGTGGTTGTGCTGGTGGAGGAATCGCTAAATGACGGAGATGGTTCAAACGCTCTTCTGGACTCAATTTGCAATCGTGGTTCTCCAGATAGCTTTTGAGACTGTTCAACTTATTACGAAGATCGTTAATGTCTGATGTCTTTTTGTCGTTGAGATGTTTGAATCCGTTTACTTGCTGGAATAAACACTATGTTTTTGATGGTTTCTTTTTAAATTTAAGACGTTTAGCTCATGAAGATATCCTATAGGGTGGAGCATGATTATCGGGACAAAAGTTTGTTCTAGAACAAAATTTGAGTAAAGCGTTGTACTGGGCTCAAAATTGAAGTGCAAAAGGTCAAATGATTCGTCAGTAAACTGACCAAGTTTCAAAATATTTGATGAACTTTTAGCCGAGTTATCGCTTATGAAAGTTGCTTGATCTCGTCAAAATCGCAACGGTGTGCAAGAAACATTTCACCGTTCTTCTTTGAACAATCTGAACAAAACCTAGATTTGAGGAATCGCTTTGAAAAATTCAATAGCTTTGAATAAAACTTAAAATTATATTTCTACTAATTTTTGTGCCTTCAAGATACTCATGTCCCAAGATATGCCTGTTTTACCCGTCCGTGTAATGCGCCACCCTGTACGATTTTTCTCAAATCCTGACTCATACGAAATCGGATAAGTTATTCCTTACATCTTGAAGTTCCTTCATCAGATCGATCCTTCTTTGTCGACATCTCGCTGCCGCTTCCTTATTTCGTTGACGTCGCTTCAGCTTCTTATCATCGTCGTCGTCGTCCATGTTATCCTGAAATCCATCTAATCTTAGCTCTTGAGATGACAGTCTTTTGATTACTCAAAAGATTATCCCATTTCTTATTTTCAAGTGGCTCGTTTTCTCCCTGGTCTATCTTCCTCTTTAGAAGCGTATGGATGCTTTTGCTTTTAGGTCAAGACTGTAAAGGTGGGCGCGTGTTGGGTGTACGAAGAAGAAGAAGAGAGATGTAGATACAATATTGAGAGATGACTAATATATTTACTTTGCATAGTGTACCTGGTGGGTTGGGATAGGAAGAAAGGGCGTCAGTCTAAAAACTGAAGAAGAAGAAGAAAAAGGGCACATTTATGTAGAGATTTTTTAATTTGATATAAAATAGTTTGCACCATCCAACAATCCAGAATACTAAAGTAAAAAAAATACATTGAAAAACGAAACTACCGTATTCCCTCTAATAGAAGCCCACCCTTCACTGTGAGCTAAATTATCTCGATTCTTGAGAAAGATATCAAAAAGTTGTCAACTGATAACATATTTCATCCAAAATCTAATCAGTTGACAAAATTCTGATATTTTTCACAGAAATCGAGATTGGTGGGTTATAGAGAAAATGTGGTAACAGATTCAGATTCCAAGATCACCCAACGATCTGAATAGACCGATTGAAATTACCTCAATGCCAGAAATAAAATCAAAAATCTTTTTCATCTAACCGCTACCGTAATCCAACTAGGACGTTAATCTACAGTAACTTTTCCCCATTCCTCAATGAATCGTTATCAGTGTACCACAAATATTTTAGAAATGACTCATTGCAATTAGTCGGTGCTTGTTTAGCTTGTCTACCACCAAAACAGTATTTTTATTATCCAGATAGTCAAGATTTCGAGATCAAGACATAATGGTTTCTTACCACGAAATAGGCAGTTTGGTTGCGATACTGCCACGTCATTTCAGCCACTTCTCAGGAGGCCCTCTGAGTGAAATTTCCCTTTGAGAAGTTTTCAAAAAATGAATAGAGTAGTCAGTGAATATGAGTCAGAAATATTGAATGACTAGCAGTGGTGTTGATGACGAAATTTTAAGAGAAACAGAGCGAGTTTTTGGTGGGGGGACAGTATGAGTCAAATGAAGAGAAAAGTGAAAAAAAAAATGTGAGTCACTTCGAAACGAGAGAGGAGTTGAAGAAGGTGTTGCCATGAAATCTCCACCCACTTTTTCATACCCCTTGTTTTTCCAGCTGCTGTGCGAGGTTCCCGCCGTGGGTTCCCATTCGTCCATTTCTATACTCTACCTTATCTATTCGCCCAATTAGTGCTTGGTTACCGTAGTATTGTTTTGGAGAAGCAACTTCGTATGAATTTCCTAATGAGTTTGTTTTTATACAAAAAGAGATCGCACTACATTTTAACCTGCTCAGACTTTGTTTTGACAAAACAAAACTTTGGATAATTTTGGTCCTGAGTCACTCTGCCTCTCATCAAAACAAAATATGCATAGACTGATGTTTTGAACATCTCTCTCTCTCTCTCTCTCTCTCTCTCTCTCTCTCTCTTTCAGTCAGATATCAGCTGAGTTAAAAAGAACTGTCGGATAAAAGCCAAAATTATTTAAACAGAGCCACTTGAGAATTATGAAACTTTCCAGGAAATAAAACTCCAAAACTAGCCTCTTCAAAACGATCCATGGCTCTGAAGCCTACCTCCTCCTTTGGTTTTCTTCCAGCCGCCGACTTCTTTCCAGTATTGTATTGGACCATAGGCGTCGAAGTGGTTGCTGTGTAAAAGTCAGGAAATGGTGAACGGTTGTAGAGTTGATTGGTTGGAATCCCTGGGATCGGACCTTAAATTTGGAAATGTTTATTTTGAGAAAGATCTTGAAGCATTCGTACCAAATGGATGTGGTGTCAAAGGTGAGCTGAGATTCGGAGTAAGCGGAGATGTGATGTCCGTTTGTGGGAACTGAAATATTTCGAAATTAATCAATACTTGATCTTGGGTGGATTTTTAGACTATTGTATACATAGTTTACTTGTTGAGTTGACTCATATCAACCTATTTGCAGCTCATGCTTACGTCATATTGATTCTTAAAATGGTGAGTATCGTCATAATGGGCTCCATGGAATGCCCATATCATATCTTGGTGACTCATTTTTCTGTAATGACGTGGCACCCAGTTCGAGTTCTAAAGGAGATGAGCAATGACTCTTGAGAATTATGTGAAAGAATTGATATCAGGACAGGCAGTTACGATGATGATGAAGTGTATAAGGATAGTGACGAGAGGGACGAAAGCTCCGCCCATTCTGGAGAACGAACGGAGTGAAGTACGGTATTTGTTTGACGATTGACTATAGGACTAAAGGCGGACTGTGTTGAAAAAAAAGAACAAGAAATAGGTATCGAGAATCGAAATAGTTTATGGTCGACGACGACACTTCTAGAAACGATAATTTTTTTTGAAAGCTATTAAAAACGAAAGAAGAAATAACCAGACGGTGCTAAAACGCAATTAAACATGGAGGTCTAAAATAGAAGGCGTAACACTTTTTTTTCTCCCGACCTAGATTATTTCAAACTTTTAGTGCCACTATACGAAAAAAAATAGATTCTCGTGATAAGAGTCTACGGGAGGCCAATTAGCAGTATCCTCTCCTCTTGGCCTTTTGGACTTTTTATGCATGAGATAAACAATCATCACAAAGCCTCAAAAACTCACTCGAAGATTTAGAATATTCAAAGATCTCTTTGAAAAAAATGTATACTTTAGTCAAAAGACTTTAGAATCAAAGTTCTGATAGCCTAGATATAAAAGACGAAGAAATCTAGGAAGTGTGAAAATCAAAATTAATAGAAAAAGGTATAAATCTTATTTTATCAAGGTCGTCACACTTCGCAGCAAACCGCTATTCGTGATAAGGATTTGCAGAGTTCCAATTTTTCTTCTCAAAAGTTCAACTACAGTATTTCCTCTATTAGAAGGGGCCCCGCACTCTCAACTTTGACCTCAATTATCTCGATTCCTGTGACAGACATCAAAAGTTTGTCAACTGATAAATTGTTCATCATAATATCACCAATATTTTATCAGTTGATAATTTTCAAATATCTTTCTCCATTATCGGGATAATAGAGCTCAAAATTGACGGCTTGGGTGGGCTTCCATTGGAAGACATATGGTAAGGATAATCATTTTAAGGCTCAACAGATGCAAACGGAAACAAATCTTTTGGGGGATTAACCGATACTTGAAAGGTGAGGAAGAGACACATAAGTATCAAGTGTGAGCACGGATAGATTACTGTAGAAGTGTGTAAACACGTCGGCATTCTTCCTTTTAGGATCCCTTTCGCACCTATCCATATACTTTTAATCTTAAATCAAACACATATTCCGGAGCAGCATACCGGGAGAGATGGGTGGTAGGAAGGTCCTTCTAAAAAATGGGTAGTGCGTAAAGGGAATTAGTAATTGAAGGGATGTGAAACTGAAAGATAATAGCACTTCTAATATTGGTCCAATTAAAATCTGGAATTTTGGTTCAGTTTCAATGCTCTGTCTTAATTGGATTCTTTGAATGGATGAAGAATATATTTAATAAGAAGCTGTTAAAAAATGTAGGTAATTCTCTAATACTGACATTTTGAAAGGTTGGGAAAAGGATTAAAAGAAGGTCTAGACTATAATCTTAAAGGAAGTAAGTACTGATATTCGAAAATTTCAATTATTCGCCTTTTATATCATTGTTTTTCCTGAGCCTACTATCCTAGTCATATTGTTCATGATGTGAATTCTCAACGAAGTCCCCTGGTACTCCACTCCTCACCCCGTCTGATTAGTTAGAAAAACGTGGGATTAAACAAACAATTACAGTAGTCCAGAGTTCATACCTGCTGCAAGAAGTCAGTTCCCAGAAACAATGATGGGAATCCATATCCATTGGTAGGATAGTAGGGAGTACACGGTGTCAATGGAGATGTGTTAGTTTGTGGATTATGCAGATGGTGTTGTCCGGGTTGAACTATTACAGACGTTTGATGTGATTGGTTGGCTGGTGTTCTGGGTCCGCCTAACTCGAAATAGTGGTTAGGTTCGGAGCCAGAACCAGAGCTCGTAGTGGTGTTAGTCGTCGACGATGGTTGTTCGAACATTCCACTTTCTTATATATAACACTGGTGCTGACACACGATCGAGCCAAACACAGAAGGTGAGTAACCGGGAATAGGAATAGAAGTGAGAAATAGGGGAAGAAGAAAAAAGGATTCTGATTCACGAAGATGACTCTTCTAGGTGATGATGACAAGCAAGGAGGTAACTGATTGGGTGGTCAACGGACCTGATGGAGACGAGAAGGGGAATGGTGTGACAAAAGTTTGGTTGGTGGTGTATGTGTATGCGTCGTTGAGAGAAAAGGAAGGGGAAAAACGGTCGAGCAGCAGCAGCCGCCGGCGCGTACTGTGCGCAAGCTCCGCCCATTTCTCGAGACGACGCCAAATTTGAAATTTCAAAGGAGCCACCGCCAATGTAATCACCACCACCACCAGGTTCCTCTACCACCATGAAAATGAAAAGTAAACGAAAGACTAGTTAGATTACAAAAACTCGAATATACAGGAAACCGTATACGGTATCTGTGCAATATATGTAAGACGGGAAAAAGAGCCATTGTTAGATGTTGATGCTGACTCAGCGTGATCGACAAGAGTTGGGAAACAAAAATGATATTGTTTGGGATGGAACAGGAGACGTCGGTCGATGTCGTCTTCTATTATTCTTCCGAAATACCAACGGAATGATACAAAACAGAATATTTCTAAAACTGAGGTATGCTAGATTCCTATTCCACAACGATCATTTTCAAAGCTCCGCAATGTAAATCATAATTCTTCGAACTGCCTATCTTTCCTACCGCATCAAGTATGGTGATGAGGGTATCGATGATTCAGTGGTTGGGCGCGGAACGGAGGATGGCACCAATTGGTATGTCTCATTTTTATTGACCCAGTATTTGAATATTTATTTGCATGTGACGATTTTAAAAGGAAAGGGAGCCGAGATCAGCCCAATAAAGTTTGGGAATCTATTTTTATTGTAGACGATCCTTTCGAATTCAAATGCTCCTTGTTCTGATCTGAGCCTTCTTTTCAAATTGTCTCTGATTACTGTTGAACCTGTAGTAAAATGGGCTCCCACACTGTCAACTTTGAGCTCAATTATCTCAATTCCTATGCAAGATATCAAAAATGAGTCAACGGATAAAACGCTTTTAATATCATGATGAACCATTTATCAGTTGACAACTTTTTTTTATATCTTTGACATGAATAATTTGGCACAAAGTTAAAAATTAGGGCCCTTTTTATTACAGATTTTAAGGTATCCCAAATCATGTTTGATTACGATATTTTCCTTCCAGTTAATCCTTTCAGACTGAGAGTCTCAGTACAGTAGTCTGTATTGAATTTGAATTCTCTTTCCGTACAGCTTCCAAAACTCTTTTCTTACCTCCCACGGTCTCGACCAGTTGCCGTGAAAATAGTGTTTCAATTAGTGGAGACCCAGAAAATGCACTTTTCTCATTTTCCCTTTTTTCTTCTTCTTCTAAATGACGTGATACCAAACTCTGTGTTTCTGTATGCAAGTACCGGTAAGAACCAAAAAAAAAAGACAACGAAAATTTGAATGTGTTCTTTTTGAACGTGTTAAGAAGAAGAAGAAGAAAAATGGAAAAGAGAAATGAGAAGTGGGACAAAAAAGAATGAAAGCAGTGGAAGCTTGTACTTTTAGAATACAGGTGTTTTTCTATGGAAAGCATGGAAAACATGGAATTTTTCCGGATGAAAAAGAGATCTGTCTCATTTTTTGGAAAGTTGGATTTTGTAGAAATGAAAGGGTTTCTGTGCTTGATTTTACAGCACACCATACCGTAATCCGCATTCAGCTCGTTCTTGTAAGAGATACTGTAAAACCTGTAATAGAAGGGCCCCACAACTGTCAGTCTTGAGCATGTTTTTCTTGGCTCCTATGCAATATATCAAAAACGTTTCAACTTACAAAACACTTCTGATATTATGATAAACAATTCATCCGTTGATAAATTCTTGATATCTCTTACAGGAACATATGCTCAAAGTTCACATATGTGCTCAAAGTTCAAAGTTAGAGGGCTCTATTATTGGAGGTTTTACGGTATTAAAAAGCAGTCAACAAACAGAAAGATTCTGATAATGTGGCCACTTTTTCACAGATTCTAGGAATTGAAATAGTTTCAGCTCAAGTTAATTTTGGTGTGTGGGCCTATCAGAAGAAATACGGTAACATGTGTTTCCCTAAGATTGTGACTTCCTAGCTTTGCTAACATTTTATTCAAGAATCAGATGATCCTACGCCCCATCTCATTTAAATCTAAAATTTCATCTGAATTATTCTGGACTCCTCATACATGTTCATGCACACACATTACGTCGTTTTCTCATTATTACGTAACTCTTGTCCTCTATTATTCAGATATCTCGGTCAGATTCCTTAACGAAATCTATGAATTCAATTATTCAAAAACTAGGTGTCAAGCTTTCTTCTGTTTTTCAATGAGCGAGTGAGGATGTAATTTGATAATAGCATTGATTAAAGGACATAAAGATGGAGTTTATGGAGCCCCAGAACATTTGAAGGTATGAAGTTTAATACTACCACCGAGGAGTTAGAAGTGAGGCTGATGTATATTTACTGTTTTTTATAAACACATCAATAAAAAATTACAAAATACAAACTACTGGAATTCCAGAAACGTCCCATTTGCTTTTTGAGAACTTTTGATACAGAAATTTGACTTACAGAAACCAGTATCAGCAGAGAATAAAAGGGCATGCACTTCTATTGCAGGTGTTACAGTCAACTTTTTTTTCGAAAAACATTCCTGTCTACGGCTATGATCTCATACAGTTCCGTCTAGACTTCCTGTTATTTATATCAACATTTCAGAGCCTTTCCAAATATCAACACCCATAAAAGCATCCTAGGCAATCCATCTAATCCACTTACCTCATATCTTCCAAAAGAGGAAATTAGGTTCAGCAAAGTGGCATTCATCCTTATCAGTTTAACAGAATACTATTATTTTTGAGAGTATTTAGTAGCTTGGTAATGAGTGGTGGGGGTGGTTTGGGTATAACTATAAATTCACTCGTTTTTTTTCAGAAAAATACGGACTGGAGTTAACGCCTCCTTTCCCGTGAGACTAGAGAGAGAGGCAGAGAGCCCCTATTCATCTGCTTATTGTGCTCGAGTACGTAAAACCTGATAGGCTAGCTCACGCCCTCTTTCAGTGTTGTTATTCTCTGAAAATATTTAAAGAAAAGGAAGATCTAAGTGCATGGTGTAGTCCTAACAGTTTCAATGAAATAGGAATACATCAAATGTTCCGTCTGGTTAGTATTTAGCAGTATTAGATGATGTAAATAAAGCACCGATGATAGTAGCTCCAGAATGAGTTATTCTAGAGCTCAGCGTTTCAAACTTTCATAATTTGAAACATCTTTGTAGAATTCAATATTCGGAACACACTACCGCTAAATGCTAAATTGTTAGGATGCTCAAAAGTGCTAAATGTTTCAAACAAAATATCAAATATTGGTGTTCGTAGAAAGTGTAAATTTCAGTTCTATGTCTATGTTTGTCCTCAGAAGATCAGATGCATTTATTCAGACAGTACTTCAAACGTACATAGACCATCTTGTACCAAAGTGAACTCAACCTGCTCATCGAAACATATTCTTTCTTGGAAAATTGGTTGCCCTATAAGATAGTTTGGCATGTGCATGTCACAAGTTTTTCCATCTTCAAACCCATTCAGATGTTACTAATGAGCCTATATGGTTTGTGATTTCCGGTATTACAGTTCAATTCTCATAATAAAAGTTCCATGCCGAAAACGGACCGGAAAGATGTTTTCTACTATTTGCCCACCGAATTCTGAGAATATTTTCAAAAAAACTCACCTATATGATTGGGTGTTGTCCTAAATTGATTGGTTCTCTGATTCACCAGTTATCGATGTATTTCTGAAAAAAGAGAAATTGTCAGTAACATTAGGAAGTAACAAGAGAAAACAATAGAAAAACCAGTATGAAGGGAAAGATGAGAGGAGATATGGCAAGGGATTAGTATCAAAAAAGAGCAAAAAAGGAATAGAGATCATGAGAGTTTGTTTTTGAGAGATGGAAAAGTCGGAATAATAAGAATCAGCTATGCTTGGGAAAATATAGGAGGAATAAACAAATGTGTGAGTTTGTTGATCCGTGAGGAAGCCTAATGAAGTTAACAAATGAATTTGATTTTAGGTTTTAGAGTTTGATCTTTTTATTTTGTTAGAGAAGTTTTATGAAAAGCGACTTGGGAGAGTTTAAACAATTGCGGAGACATTTTGATAAAAAATTCCGATCGGAATCAAAGTTTTTCAAATCGATTTCATACAACTTAAGAAAGGTTATCAAAGGAAATGTACAAGAGAGAAATATTTAGCAGATGGCGTAAGAAAAGGTGGAACCAATATTATTTGCTTTCAGAAGGCAAACATGAAAAAATTAGAACGAATATTTCAATCAGTACGCTTTGCCTCACTCCACCCTTATTTTTCAGATCAGAAAAATTTCAGACACTTCTCGACCTTTAAATTTGATCGTGCAACAAAACCATGAAAAAAGTATTTTGATCGATGTTAACCACCAGAAAAATGACCAAAATATCTGCGCAATTTTCTCACAAAGCCATAAACCTAACCTTCATTCCCGTTTTTTACGACATGACTAGTTTTTAGGACACCCTGTACTTTATCGTTTTGTGAGGTTTTGGGGAGTCGTTAAAATTTTTGGATTTTTTTGTTGCAAAACCGCTTTTTTGAACAGGAGTTGAACGAATAAGAGAAAACCACTTTGAAATGAAGATTGAGAATTCTCGAGATCTTTAGTAAATACTGTAATACCCGTAATAGAAGGACCAACGAACTTTTAACCTTGAGCCAATTTATCTCAGTTTCTGTCAAAGATATGAAAAAGTTGACAACTGATAAATTGTTTATCATGATATCAAAAATATAAAAAAATTTATCAAATGTTTTGTCAATTGACATACTTTTGTAGCAATTGAGTTAATTGAGCTCAAGCTTGACACGGTGGGGATCTTTTATTACAGGTTTAGAACATCGAAGTTAGATATGAGGATACAGCAGGTTGAAAAATAAAATTGAAATCAACAAACTTCAATGTAAATTAGGTTTATCTTGGTAAACTTCAGAAAGTTCAGTGATGATCTAAAATTTTTAGAAATGCTCCAAAAACTATTTCGTTGAACTAAAAGTTTCAGGTTAATTTTGGCATTTTTTTTAGCTTCTGCGTCAGTTACTTTAATCTCTATTCTTCATATTTAAATCTTGAACCTCGCAGGAAGTAAGCACAAAATTATTCATATTTGACAAGGCAAATCTTACTAAATGACTAGAAAGGTATATAAGAAAGATTTGTACGAGAAGAGCCGGTGTTTATGCGTAGTCTAGTCTGGCTTTCGTCTTCTTCGACACTCCGTGCTGGAAAAATAACATATGTTCTGATTAATGAGTCATTCACCAAAAAAAAACTGAGTTTTTTCTTCTGCTTCTCGCCTCACGTCTTCTCCTTTTTCTTATTTTTCTACTGCTTATTTTTCTTCTTCCTCACACATACAATTCATAGACGAAAAACTAAAAAACGAGAGAAGAAAAACAGATATGGCTCAAGAGTGGGATGAATAAAATCAAGGATTTGGTTGTGTTGTTTTGTTGTTGTCGTTGTTTGTGGTACGGTGTATGAGAAGATGAAGTTGTTACCCTCAACACTGATAGAGCCACCCCTGACAAGTGAGTTTTAATTTTAGGCCAATTAATCTTGGTTCTTGTGAAAGATATCAAAAAGTAGTCAACTAACAAAATTTTTTTACAATAAACATTTTGTCAGTTGAGCACTTTTTGATATCTGTTACAGAAATCGAGATATATGAGCTCAAAGCTGACAGTTTAGAAGGGCGTTCTATTAGAGTGTTTACGAGAAATAAATACCGACTCCTAGTGGAAAGAGCTTGGATTCTCAAAAAGTTTTTGAATTAACTAAGATTGTTGTTTTGGAGTGACAAATTCTCAAAAAAGTCTATTGGCCCTTTCAGATGAGAATAAAATGTTGAGAAACTTACACCCACTTCAAGGATTCTTATCAACAAAGGGCCCAGGCCAAATGATAGTGTGATAAACGATTTGATAGATCAATTTAAGTGCCAACTTTCACAGGAAAAAGAATTGCTAATGGAAAACTTAGATAAAAGAGATTTCCAGATAGTTGCAAAGAATTTCGAAACATTTTAAAAAATACCCAATATACGCATCCTTTCTAAAAGAAGTGGTGATCAAAACCTAGTCATAACTAATATGATTGAATGGCATAATGAAGAACAGAACGCCAAGAAAATACAACTATAATAAAATACAAAAAGTGAGTGGTTAAAATTCATTCGAGACGCGACACGATCATTTGGCGCTGAGTCATGCGCGCGACGACGAGGACGGCGGTTTGTGTGCCGAAAGATGAGAATAGGAGAAGGAGAGAATCAGAGAAAATGTTGAAATAGAAGGGCACGTAGTGGAGAATCAAGGGAGAATGAGAAGAAATAGACCAGCGCCAGTGGAGAAGAGATAGACGAAGAGACAAACATCTCTTGATTTTACACACTATTGGTTTGGGCTGGAAGTTGAAAGCGAATCGGGATGACGTCATCTCGTGATGACTGTGTGTACCTGCATAAGAGAGACAGGAAGCTTGCCCCGGAACATAACTTTTATAGATTGTTGGCATTTCGGCAAACTGATAATCAATACAACTGTCACGTGGCATAGAAGAGCGTTCACTTTGAGTAGTGCACCTAGATTAAGGATCAAAAGAAACTGATGTCATTTCGAGAAGCTTCTTTCTCAGAGAACCTGTTTTTATTCAAGCGGAAATCTTATGTTATACATTATCATGCAATAAACTAACATCCATGTTTGAATTTTCCTTTAAAAAAACACCTCACAAAAACCCAGAACAGTTCGCAACAGAACGGATCGACATATCAGAAGTTTTGGTTATCATAAAGCCTTCATAGAGGTCCCTTCCATTTTGAGCCAATTTTTCTTGGTTCCTGTCAAAGATATCAAAAAGTTGTTAACTGATAAACTGTTCGCCATGATATCAGAAGAGTTTTGTCAGTTGACACATTTTTGATATCTTGCATAGTAAATAAAATAATTGAGCTCAAGATTGTCAGTGTGGGGGCTCTTCTATTACAGGTTTTACGGTAATAGCGGTTGGCAAGAATCAACAATTTTAGTGCCTCAGAAATATTCGCTTTTTCTTTTCCTTGTCTTTTTTCCACTTCACGTCTTCTAGGTTCTGAAAAAAAGCAAAACACTTCACTAGTTGTTATAAAAGCAGCCGCGGAGTTTTGAATGGTTTCATTAATGTAGAATTCAGAAGTCTAATCATGGAAGTAAGTAGTGGTTAAGGGGTGGTTGAAGATATGGATACTGTGCTGAAAGTTCTAGAGTACGATGACGTTGATTCAGAAGTCATGGAAGTAACCGTTTCTCTGAGCAAATTTCTCAGATTGAATAAATCGGTTACGGTTACCACATCATCCTAGTCTTAGTATTCCGTAAAACCTGTAATAAAAGAGTCCTCATTCTGTCAACTTTGATCGCAATTATCTGGATTCCTACGCAAGATATCAAAAATGTGTCAACAGACAAAACACTTTTGATATTGTATTGTATATTATGATAAAAATTTGTCAGTTGACAACTTTTTTGTATCTTTGGCAGGAATCGAGAAAAGTTGGCTCAAAGTTAATTTATTAGAGGTTTTATGGTAGTTTTCTGGAGTTGTTGGTCTCACAATCATCATCGTACTTTGAAAAGATATAATGTTGTATGTATTCACTGAAGAATCCTGGGAGTTTATGTGTCTCAATGAATCTGGAATCCAGATCCAGTGTATTACGGTTTTAGGGGTCCGTGTCAAAGAGATCTTGTTTTTCAGACAAATTTATGAAAATTTCAGGAAACACAAAAGGTTCAGAATATAATTTGTCTTGATAGAGAATTTTCTGACGGAATTGCAATAAAAATATACAGAAATAAAGGAGTCTGGCCTAATAATCAAGACAGGAATTGTTTTGTATGACTACTTCTGCAGAAAGATTGTGAAAGTTCGGCTGGAGTGCTCATCTTGTCCGAGTTATCTTTCACCTGAATGAATTCCAATGACGTTGCCTTCTAACTTGATGTTCTTTGGTAAGAGATCAACAGAAATAAAGAAAATACTTTATATGCTACAGTTATCCGTTAGTCGCAATTCGAAAATACAAATGCAATATATAAAAAAAATATTTTTCAGATTTTTCAGTACAATTCATGTAGTGTAGTTGTTAGTGGCACCTCTCCTGACGACTCATTCTCTCCAGGAGATTCTCCCGAGTATCCAGAAAACTCCTCTTCGCCCGATACTTCTCCCGACGCTTCGCCCGATGCTTCTCCCGATGCTTCTCCCGGCGCTCCTCCCGATGCTTCTCCGGAGGTCTCGATATAAGATCTCAGTGAATCGAGACCAGAACCTGATCCTTCAACCGACGAATTTCCTGTTCCAGACGCTTCTTCTGCTGGTTCTCCACTTCCTGTCAGTAGACCCTCGTTGGATTCATCTGCTGCTAATGGATGTCCTTCATCGGTTGCAGAAACTTCCTCTGAACCAGAATACTCTTCTTCGGTTGTAGATTCGTTTCCTGAACCAGAGTACTCGGCATCTTCTTCTGTACCCTCTCCTGCACCTTCCGCGGAACCTTCTCCGGAATCAGCAACTGTTGAATTGTTTCCCGATGTATCCAATGATACGTCACTTAGCACTTCTTCAGTCTTCGGATTCCCTAATGTTGTCGTTTCTACGTGTGTGATATTTGCAGAAGTTGTTTTTGTTGTTTCAGCGGTAGTGTTCGCCGCTTGATCGTCGTTTTTCGGTGCAACAGTTGTAGTATTCGGATAGCTCTTTTTTGTAGTTTCTGCCTTTTTTGTTTCGTTCTTACTGTACATATCCAAAACTGAAATAGAATAATTGCTAGAATAAACTGTTTTTTGCTGTAACTCACTCAGCTGATCCAGAGTCTTCACACTAACATCCAATGGGGAATCGACAGATTTCAATTCGGGAAGAGCTCGTGGCAATGGAACACCATTCTCATCGAGAGGAACAAGATTTGAAAGTAGTTCATCCTGTGCATTTCTGTCGCGAATTTCTTTAGCCATCTTCTCCGCGTACATTCGTTTCAATTCCTCATCCATTGTTGAGTCGATTCGGTGCTTTTTCAGGTCAGCGTTGCTGAAAAGAGAAAATAAATTTGAAACATAATTTAAAGGAAATTATAATAGATACGCACTTGGTGAGATAGTTACATTGTTCAGGCATGAATGATCCAAGAACTGGGCGGAGGATCGATAGTTTGTTTTGACTGGCAGCAATAGGACGAACAAAAACTTCCGATAATAAAGTTCCAGCTGAGCCTTCACAGCGAGTATTGAATTTAGAGCGAATACAATCCAGCATACAATCACCGATTCTGAGTAAAAAATTGCGAAGCCTAGCATAGAATAATCTTAAACCTGCACAAATCATTAGTAAACTGCCGGAAGTTTTCAAATCCTTGTTGTGCATCCTGGGGGCTCGGTGGTCTCTGTTCAACGGTCGCTAACATATCAGCCCAACCAGTGGGTGTTCCACCAGCCGCTCCTTCTGCACCTTGCAAAAATGCAAGAGGATTAGCATTAGTGCCTGTTGCAGCTCCAACGATGCCATTTACACCTTGTTGTATGGTATCTTGGAAAGCCGTACGCATCATCCAATTCATGAAAAGGTTTTTAGTTTGGCACTGAGCGTCGCACTCTGGAAGGGAACAATTTATAACAGATCTGATTTCCTATTTTTAGACGTACCTGATTGAACAAGACCTGCTTCGTCGTCGATGCACTTTATGGTAGCGTTGAATGCAAGTTCTTGTTCGACACACATATAGTGAAGGCCACTTGTCATCATCTCGAACATTCCACGATCGTCTTTATCGCATCTACCGTCCTCATTAACACATGTGCTCGCGTTGGAGTATTTTCTGAAAATACAATTTCAAATTCTAATGGATCGTAACAAACGAACTCGCAAATTCGATGGTATCGTTCGACATGGCTCATATCCTGAAGAACGATTCCAAGTGCTTCCCTCAAATCGTTAGAACAGTCTCGTGGGCATTCTCCCATTTCGTCAAAATTAATGATAAAGTTCCCATCGTGATGATTCATACTTTCGCTGACAAAACTTTTCGGTGCGTTTTCTCTGAAAATTACATTGAAATTCTGATTTTGTTTAATTTTAATACGGTGAAAGTGCATCTAAAGGTGAATCTGGGAGTGCTTGAACTCGGAGAGTGGCTGGGTCTAAATCTTCCTGATTTCCCGTCGTCGAATCTGTTCCATTTTCATATTCAGCTCCGAGTAAGACGGCTTCTGTCGAATTTTCACTTTCAGATGGAGTGGGAGCCTGAAAAAAAGATTTATTGTCGGAATTCAACACAAATAATATTACAGCTCTCAGTGAAAAATCAGTGTTGTTAGGCCACCATGGCAAGAATGATCGGAGATATGCGTTCGCTGTGTCCGGAGGAAGAGTTGGAAGCGGATTATTGAGAGAAAAGGGTACGAAACATAACAGTATTAGTAGATTAACACGAAGCATTGAAGAATTCTCTCAAAACAGGACAATTCTCGAGTAGAAGTGAGTAAATGTCCGGAATTTTTCAGTGAGCGGTGACATCTGCAACTACAGGAAGATTAAAGGCGCATCATGGTTTGGCAATGCGGGTTCTCGAACAGAAAGAAGTTGACTGTAGGAGTTATTGTAGAAAATCAATCGTATTTTCGTAATTTCGACAAAAAAAGCAAAAAAAAAAAACAAGTATGAACAAAGTATTTCACCAGCCCAAAAAAAGATTTCGGGAAAAAACGCCACTGGCCGGCAGCTGCAGGCCGCAGTGGCAGTCGCAGGCCCATAACGAGTGGGATCAAAGTTGTGACAATTTTCTTGATTTTTTTTTCCGAAAAGCAAGTCAAAAAGAAGCAAGAAACGAAAGACTACCTGAAACCAAACGAAAATCGAGAAAGAAATAAGTAAAAAATAAAATAATATTAATTTAGGAAATATTAATAAAGTCATCTTCTTCATTGTTTCAGAAATGTGTATACAGTAATTTCAGATGTTACTTTCCATGTCTAGTTTCATGAAAACCAATGTTGAAATCGCCCCGGTAGTTTGTTCATCGTTCAGGTTACGGCAGGTTTCGTTATGGGATATAAGATCACGACCACAGGAGTTTTTCTTCCACAACTCGTATTATTTAGGAAACTTGTTTCAGAAATGAGTATACAATATTTTCAGATTCTAGGAGCATAAAATGTTTTATTTCCATGACTATTTTTTCATTCTTCTATAAATTTTTAGATTTAACGCATAACCGTGAAACCTCCATCTGCTCTTTTATCCTTTTACGACTTCTTTTTTTTTGGGTTAGCACCAATATAGTACACTTTCTGAATTGCTCCAGCTGGACATGCCTGACCTCTGTGCCAGTGTAAAAAGATTGCGGCATTGCACCAATAAAAAATAATTTGACAAGAAGAAACACTGGTTGTCATCGAATTGCGAGCAGCTGTACTGATTTGATGAATGAGAAGAAGCATAAAGAAGAAAAATGATGAAGACGGTGTAAAAATCTGATGGGGGTGAAGCACATTCTCATCTTTTATGTGACGGTTCTCGTATCTATTTTTTTTGTCTTTTATAATATTTGAATGCGATTTTTTTTGTTTTCAATAAAGATGTGTTATTTTCCTGTCCTTCGCAATCAGAAAAAGTTCCAGAGAAGCTATTTACTGTAAAGATTTTAGTCCAGTTCTAAATTTAGAAAATTTTGTAGAAAGTTTACTAAATTATAACCTGAATCCATTGATGTCGGAGACGTTCCAAATGTGATGTTTCACAGAAGGGTTATTTTACGTTGAGTTTTTTCAAGTGAAAAATGTCTAGTGAGTCATGCTAAAATTTTTCTTTGAGTTCAATTATCTCAATTTCTATCAGTGCTATCAATAATGTGTTAACTGATTAAATGTTGGTGATATTAAGACAAACATTTTATTAGTTTTCCACTTTTTGATACCTTTCACAGGAACTGAGATACATACAATGGTTCAAAGTTGACGGTTTGGGTGGCACTCTGTTAGAGGAAATACGGCAAATCTTTCGAACTTCTAGAACAGAAAACTGCCCTTTTGCATCTGCTCGTTTTCTCCACCATACTCTTTCTAAACTTGAAAACATTACACCTGACAGAACATTTTGTTAATCTACATCGAATAGGTATCAGTAGGCGGATTAGTAACCTCTCAACCCTTTTGTGTCGATTCATTTCCCCTCCCTATGTGGTGCAATAAACAGAATCCATTTGGCCAGATGTGTTATCCTCTTCTCAATCGACGTCCATCTTTTTCAATCATCGCAAGCTTCCCCCCTCCACTCTCTCAAAATTGCTCTTTTCCATTGTGAATGAGAGATGAGCACCACGGATTGTGCAGCACACCGACCAGTGCCACTTTACACGCAAAACAACAATTCACTGTTTTCTTATTCAGATCAGCACATACATATTTTTTTAAGAAGTCTAATCTATGATTTTCAGGAATTTTAGTATTTTTGTTTGGAAAAAAGATTTTTCTGATTTGTCCTAGTTGATTTGCAGGAATCCCAAATTTAAGATCATTCAGGATCAGATCCATCTCCTTGGAGAAAACTTTCATCCGGTCTGCTTTTACAACTTTTTTTTCAAATTCTCTAATCAAAATCCAATACACCACTTTGACACTTTCTAATTGCATAATTTCATTTCTTCATTTCTGTATTTGTATACACATATGTGTCAGGATACAACTTGGCCTTTTCCCTCCTTTCCTCTCCGAGAGAGGCCGCTTCTATTTTCTTTTTTTTAACGATCCTATTTTATGTATTGCTTTTTTTCTCGCCATGCGCTCCAAGGGGGAAAATATAGAATCAACACTTTTCCTCCCTTTTGAAAATGTTTAGTTTCCAGGCAACTTTATAAAAAATATTCAATTCTTTTTTGTTTTCCTCCAATGCTCTGACAAACGCATGCACTTTTGGCAGATTCCTTTTTTTCAATGTTTTCCTTTCTTCAATTTTTTTTTTGTTATTCGCTTTCACTTCAAGTACCACGTCCCCTTCTTTACACCTTCTTCTTCTTCTTTCCAATCTGTCTAGGTGAAGCCTTACCTTATTTTTGGTATCAAACAGAGAAGAAAAAGAAATATATGTCTTAACACTTTTTTGATTAATTTTTAAAGGCTTTTGAAAGAAATATCATTCGAGTTCAAAAGAAGTTTTCCCTAATCTTTTGAGCTTTCTTAATGTGCGGTCTTTGATTTCATTTTGGGAAATTTGATTACACTTTTTGCAAAGTGTATACGTTAAGCCGGAAATTAAGATTTTCGAAAACAGGATAACATCTTTAAAGGCTTGTTGCGAACTTCCTATGGAAGGGGATTTGGACAAATGAGCTTTTTAATATACCGTAAAACCTGTAACAGAAGGACTCCAGAATTTGAGCTCAATTATCTCGATTCCCATGGAAGGTATCAAAAATGTGTCAACTGACAAAACACTTTTGATATTATGATAAACAATTATCAGTTGACAACTATTTCAGGAATCGAGAAAAATGGCTTAAAGTAAAAAGTTACGGGGGCCCTTCTATTACAGGGTTTACGGAAAAAGTTGTACGAGCAACAACCATCGGGATAATTTAACCTGAAGATTTGAAAGTTTAATAAGAAATTCGTTCGTATAACTGCAAGTTAACGGTTTATCATAACATCCTGCTACACCCTTAAAGAACTAACATGTTTATGTCTCTCCGATAGGCAAACGTTGCACTAGATGTACCTTATCAGTACCAAATGGCAACATACCACTCAAAGTAACATACCTTTTGCATTCAATTATTAATATAGGGCCACGTTCCATTCTCTTTTTTTCTTTTTCACCTACTAAATTTCCATATTAATTCCTATATTAACATATTCAGTGAACATGACATGAAAAATGAGAGCCGAATGTTGTCACACTCAAATAATTGAAAGTGTTTCGCTTTTTCCTCCACACCAATTTGTTCAGTTTGGACCACACTTCTTTTTCTTCTTCTCTATTCTCAAAAATATTAGCCATTGGTCAAAAAGTCTGCGTCTCTTCAGTTGCCCGTCTTCCCTATCGATTCAGATTTCGAGCAACGAGTGAAGAAACTGAAGGAAGAAGAGAGAAAAATGTGAGTGTGCGTGTGGAGAAGAGGGTGGGCTCTCCCGGAGCAGAGAAAAACGTTTCATTCATTACTTATTCAAAGAGGACAGCTACTCAACACATGTCTTCCGTTTTGGCTTTTCAACTTGTTGATCATTTGTTTTTGTTCTTCAAGCAGAAATTATTTTTCAGCTTTTCTTTCTTTGTTCTGTCTAGGTTATGAGTATTCTAAAAACTTCTGATATTAGTTTTATATATTGCTATTCTTGGAGTAAATATGTTTACAATAAATGATCCCAATAGATTAATTGTTTATCACAGTTGTTGAAACCTTTTCTTTTATCCATCCGGGTAATTGGATATCATATAAACTGACGAAGAGAAGTCCCAGGTGTCATCCGCCCCTCTTCTTCGAACTCCTCTCCTCGTCACTGATCATAGACACCAGTTTTCAAAGAATTTGGAAGCCATTGAACTTCAAAAACTCCGCCTTATTCTGCTTCATTCTCTTCCCAAAATCTTTTCCTAATCTTCATTCTATCGCCCCCATATACATATAAGTTACACGCTACATCAATTATTCTGACACACATTCTTTCTTTCCTATTGTCTTCGTTTCCTGAGTTTTTACTAGTAACATGTTAGTTTGTTTAAGCAAAGACTACTTCAGGTCAAGCTTATAACTTCCAATTTTTCAGGAGCATCCCTGCCCGCTCCGAAATGTTCAAATGTCTGGCGGCAGTGGGAACAGTAGTATGGATGACTATGTTTCTTTTTCTATATCAACAATTATCAGTTAATCAAAATTCAGGTAAGGCTAATATTCCAGATATACAGGATACCGTACAAGCAGTATTAGAAGGGCCGGGCTTCCTATTGTTTCAAGGTATTTCCGGAGTGCCCTTCTATTACAGGGGCTCTACAATTAGAAGGGCCTTTCTAGTTTTCCGGCTAACTATTTTTTCGAATTTTTTCCTCGAAGAATTCGAAGAATTCTCGTTTAAAATTTATTAAAATCTACCAATTTTAGCAAAATTGAGTGTTTTAACAAATTTCTGTGAAATTGTTAAATTTCAGAAATATTTTTCACTGAAAACGAACGAAATTTTTTTTCAAACAACACATTCCAAAGTTGCCCTTCTATTGGAGGGGTCCTTTTATTGAAGGGGTCCTTCTAATACAGGTGTCACGGTATTTCGATTTTCCGCTACACTATATTTTGTATCTTCGGTCAGACAATGAAATCCAGATATTGTTATTCAAAGATAAAAAAAATCTGAAAATTAATTCCAGGAGGTGATTCAATTCGAGCGTGGAGGGAGACAAAAGAAGCCATCGAAAAGCTCCAGGAACAGAATATGAATCTGAAAAATATTCTGAAAATGGAGAGGCAGGAAAGAAATGATCAACACAGAAAAATGTGAGTTTGAATCAGCCTTCCGTTCCATATAAAATTTTAAAAATTCAGCCTGGAACAAGCTCACCAGAATCCTGGAAACGCGGAACTTCCAAGAGCAGAACCAGAGAAAGAAGAGAAAGAAGTTATCCAAAAGCCAAGTATCCTAGGATCTCTGGAACAAGAATTGCATAAAAGAATGTTGGATGATAGAATAAGAGAAATGTTCTATCTTGTGCACAGCAAAGCAATTGAAAATTCTACCAAAACTCTGATAGAAAACCAAATGATTTCACTAATGGGCCTATCAGCTAAATTAGAGAAACTCGAAGGATCAGAAGACGAAAGAATAAAAGAAAGATCTAAAATAACTGAAAGAATTATGAAGTCAATTGAAAAATTGCAAAATCCTGAATCCTGTAAAAATGCCAATACATTAGTTTGTAATCTGGATAAAGAATGTGGATTCGGATGTCAACTTCATCATGTTACATACTGTGCAATCACTGCTTTCGCCACAAAAAGAATGATGATTTTGAAAAGAGATGGATCTTCTTGGAAGTACGTTTTCATTTTTTAATTTCCAAAAGTGTAGAGTTTCACTTTCCAGATACTCTTCTCGTGGATGGACTTCTGTTTTTGAACCAATTTCGAAATGCACATTTGACGAGGCTGTTGGGGTATTTGTTATTGCTTTTCCCTTGGGAAATTTCACAAAAAAACTTTTTTTTGCAGAATACAGAATCGAAGCCGTTTGCTGACCCATCACCTGCCAGAGTGGTTTCCCTTGGGATCGTGGATTCTTTACTTACGAAGTAAAGACAATTATTCTAGAAAATTAATTTAATGAATCATTTCCAGACCAGCTTTCCTCCCTCAAGCAGTTCCTGAACAATTTCTCGAAACCTTACACTCTCTTCATTCTCATCCACCAGCATTCTTTGTTGGAACGGTAAAATCAAAAAACACGACGTCCTGAATTTTAAATCATCAAATTTCCAGTTCATTTCCTATCTGATGCGTTTCAATGCCGAAACCAAAGAAAAACTTGAAGCTGCTTTGAAAGCAATTCCATTTGACCAAGGTCCAGTGGTTGGACTTCAAATTAGAAGAACTGATAAAGTTGGCACGGAAGCAGCTTTTCATGCACTTAAAGAGTATATGGAATGGACTGAAATTTGGTTCAAAGTTGAAGAGAAACGATTGGGGAAAGCATTGGAAAGAAAAGTATTCATTGCATCCGATGATCCAACAGTTGTTCCAGAAGCACAAAAAGAGTGAGTTGAAAATAGAAAACAGTGATGTTCGGAATGAGTTTTTCGGTATTTTTTCAAAATTTCTATTAGGTTGGCCGGGAAGTAACTGTCCATTTTTTGATCCGTGAATAACACAAAAGCAAGAGTTATCCAAGATTGACAGTATGCACCGTCGCGGTCCATGACATGTTGACAACATTCAGGCAACTTGTGGATACCATACCTTCAAAAGCCAGCTGGCTGCGACACAAAGTATTTTTGAGTCCAGATTTTATCTCAACTTCAGTGTTAAATTATTTTCCTCCAGATGACGTTGCATATCTCCTAATAATCAATAATAAAAGGGCCGAATCAGGAGTTAAAAGTGCATAAAGGAGGAACGTCCAGCTAAAGCGGCCCAGGTCTTACTTGACTTACCGTGGAACATAGATTCTCGAGTTATTTTATGAAACTCAATTCAGTCCTAAGACGCTTTGGATGGACGGCTCTTCACTTTCCTTAAACTCAAGACTTGACCCTTTTATTATTGGCTATTCGGAGATATTCAACGTCATCTGGAGGGAAAATAATTTTACACTGTCGATGAGAAAAAACGTCCGGGAAGGTATACTTTGATTCACGGCCAGCTGGCTTTTGGAGGTATGGTATCCACAAGTTGCCTGAATGTTGTCAACATGTCGTGGACCACGACGGTGCATACTGTCAATCTTGGATGGTTCTTGTTTTTGTGTTAATCACGAATAAAAAATGGATAGTTACTTTCCGGCCAACCTAATAGTTTTAAAATTTCAAAATATCGGAAGATTCCGATTTTTAAAAATTCAAAATTTCGTTCAGAAAATGCTCGCAATTTTCGGAATTCTCAAAATTCGGAGCATCCTTGCATAAAAGATAAATGAGACGAATTCTTGGTTTTCAGTTATCCCAACTACAAAGTGTACGGAAGTACGGAAATTGCAAAAACGGCTCAACTCAATAACAGATACACTGATGCCTCTTTGATGGGAGTTATCACTGATATTTATATTTTGAGCAAAGTTGATTATCTAGTATGCACATTTTCTAGTCAGGTTGGTTTTTTCTATAAGAAATGGCTCAATTATGTATTAAAATTTTGAGGTATGTCGAATGGGTTATGAACTGCGTCAACCATCTGGATCTGACGATGGATCCAAGTTCCATTCTCTTGACGACATTTATTATTTCGGTGGACAACAAGGTTACACTTTTCTTCAAATTCTCCAATCACCACCTAACTTTCAGCTCATGAAGTAGTTGCTATCGAAGATCACGTTGCACAAAATAATCAAGAGATTGATCTGAAAGTTGGTGATAAAGTTGGAATAGCTGGAAACCATTGGAATGGATATTCCAAAGGAACAAATCGACGAACTTACAAAGAAGGAGTTTTCCCATCTTATAAAGTTGTCAATGATTGGAGGAGGTTCAATTTCGAAGCACTTCTAGATTAGATTATTTTTCGTTTTTCTCTCTAGTTTTTCATTTAGGTATTACTGTATTTCTTTAAAGTCATCCCGGGTTCTTTTTTTCTCATACCATCGTTATCCATTTCTCTGCGGTTCTATTTTGACATCTTCTGTGATTTCAAACCGACTTTTGTTGTATTTTTCATGGCAATATCTATTTTGTGAAAAATGATTTTTGAATAATATCCAAATGGGTGAGACGATCTTTTTTTTAAACAATCTCCTCTTTCTCTCACTGTGAGTATATAATAAATGGTGAGATGTTTTTCTAGATAAAGTGAAATTTTGGTAGATATATTCGACATAATATGTACACAAAAACCCGTTTTTCAAAAGAAACACATGGCTAAACTTTGGCTGGTATAAAAGAAAAGGGTTCATAATGTTTTACGCGGTGGAGACATCATGAAGCTACTTCTGATTGTGGTCAGCTCGATTGCTGTTTTGGTTGCTGGTCAGCAAGATGAGACGCAGAAACCAGATGATTTTCTTTGGAATCGATGGGGTAAGTTAAACACTGAATTAAATTGAAATTTAATAGCTAATTGTATTCATAGAACCAAGAACCATTGATTGTGTGAGCAGTGGAAAGAAAGACGATTGCGTTCTTCTTGCTCCAAATTCCAGGATTCCGTTTGACATCTCCAAGTTCAAGTGAGTGTAAAACGTGACATATTTATATTTTTGAACATTGAAAGTTCTGTATCCTTCTGGGCGCATAGATAAACAATATCCAATAAGCTTGAAGAATGTTTCTTCCTCGAAAGATACCATGAAGCCTGTATTAGAAGAGCCGACCTTTCTATTAGAAGGACTTCGTTTTGTCGGTGAAATTTGTTTCCAACTTGGCATCCATCAACAGTATCTTAACAAAACAAAACAGGCCCTTCAATTAGAGAGGATTTCAATTTCAGGGACCCTTTTATACATCTTTTACCGAATTTAAAAATTTCAGATGTCGTCGTGAACCAATGCCACAAACGAATTGGAACACATTGGCTGTCAATTCCACCACTAGATTGGCATGCCCACTGAACTGCCCTGTCAATTTTGATCTCTCTGTTCTCCAAAAACGTCCATATGTGAACAAGAACTGTCAAAAGTACTACACGTATGGAAAATACTGGGATGTGGCTGCAAATGATTGGTACATATGGCAAACGGAACCATGTGTCGCTGCCATTTCAACCCATTGTCGTTTCAATGACGTCCCAATCACCTACAATCCGACGAAGCATACTGGTAAGAACTTGGAAGAAGTGAAATTGGAAGGAGAGATCTTGCAAACGAAAAACAGTGAGCAGAGAAAGAAAGTGGTTGTTGCCTAACTTTTTTGTTATCTCTCTTGTCATTTTTTTTTGATAATTTATATGGTTCATAAGATATTGTTAAAACTGTTCATAATACATAAAACAAGTAATATAAATTGAAGAATCACTCGTGGAAAATTTAAGATCGAGGTCAAGTACGGTACATGATAGAAAAAAGAAATTTGAATTAGATTATTCGGTGATTGTAACATTGTGAGGACGTGCAGTTTCTACTGTGTTGGTATGCGATTTTTTCACAAAGAAAATGGTGTAGAGCAATGGAATCATTGCCAGCTGAGAAAGCAACTGGATCCATTGAACTGGACTTCTTCTTTTCTTCTTTTCAACTAAAGCTGCTGGGATCAATGATGGTCCAGGATTCAATTTGTAGAGACCAGCCAAGATCCAATCTTGAACAGCAGTTGGGAATACACTGAGAGGAATAAACATGAAGATGGCATCCCACCCAGGGCAATAACGAAGACGTGGCCACCAGGAGAAGAGAGCATGATCATAACAGTCAACGACCCATCCAATATTCGGGTTGGCAACTACATTGACTCCTGCTTCCCAAGCTTTCTCGACTGAAAATAGAAATATTTGCAATGAAAATGGATAATATAGGCAACTCACAGTTTCTTCTGTACTCCTCCCCATATTCTTCTCTTGTTTCATTTGGCAAGTTATTCCAGATTCTCTGAATTCGTGATCTCTGAGCATCTTCATTTAGTAGCTCAGTCTTGAAGCATCCTGGCTCCAAAATATGAACGGACACTCCGTATTGTCTCATTTCTAATCTCAAGCAGTCCATGTACGCTTCCACAGCAAACTTGGCAGTGACATACGGCGCGACATATAGTCCATGAAGTCTTCCAGCCGTCGAACCCATAGTGACAATTCTTCCTCTGCTCTTTTTAATGAGAGGGAGGAATGCATGACACATTCGAATAGCTCCAAGAGTGTTGACGTTCAAAGAAGACGAGTATTCATCCTCACTACACCAATCATCAGGACCATGGATGGAAAAAATGCCGGCGTTGTTCACAAGACCCCATAGCTTGGCTTCTTTATCTTCCAGAACCTTCGATACTATTTCTTTTGCGGAAGCTACGCTGGCTTTGTTGGTAACATCCAATTGAATTGCGTATAAAGATCCTTTTGGTCCCTTTTTGAGTTTCCATTCGGTCTCAAGACTGGAGATTCCCTGAAACCAATACATTGGATCCATGATTTGAAAAGAAAAAAACTTACTTGTTGTGTGAAACAAGCCGCGAATACATTTACATGTTTATCAAGAAGCTGAACAGCCAGACGACGTCCAAAACCGCTGTCACAACCGGTTATCAGCACGTATTTCCCACTCGATTCCACTTTGAAGTTTTCCAGAACAAAACGACGAAGAAGGAAGTAGAATATGCATATACTTGCTATAACACATAGTGCCTCTAACATTCTGAAAAAAAAAGATATTATTAGGTTGGCTAAAAAATAATGATTGTTTTTATGATCAATTGAAATTTTCATAAAAAAGGAAGTAGACAAGATTAACTCAAAAGCTATTTGCCATAATTATCAACTACTTGTAGCCAACATCCGTGCAAAGAATGGGGTCCGCTGTGAAAGAACCCCACTGGCTGCGACCCAAAGTAGGCGACCACCCATTTTTCGGTCTCAACGCGGCTTTTGAAGTGTTTCTCGGCTAATGAGGCATTGATATGAATTACTGGAAATTTGAAAGTGCCAAATCAGGGCTACTTGGCGGATGAGGGAGCTAACTTCCCAGCCCATTTACTCGATTTTCTGCTGAGTGACTTATGACACATGCGGCCGAGCATTATCATGAAGGAATTTTGTCACTGGTGTATTCACACCTTGACGTCTCAAAGGTTGCTGCATTTGGCCCAATTATCATTGATAGAGTTTAGTAGTGGCTGTTAGACCTTTTTCCAGAACTTCAAAACATACAAGACCCTTGCTCTTCATCATACACATAGCATTACTTTCTTTCCGTATATCTCTCATTTCGAGTTGTTTTGGCCGGTTCTCCGAGGGACAACCGTTGTCTATTCTGAGTAGTATTATCGTACTGAATCACTTTATCATCCGACATAACATAAGAATCGAGAAAGGTGATATTCTTCGAGAAAAGAAGGATAATTCTGATAAGTGCGAGGAGGGAATGGTTGTAGGAAAAAACTTCCGCAACTGTTCGACTTTCCAATTTGTGCAAGTGGTTTTCAATGGTACCATTAGTACAAGAAAACGGTTCTGAAAGACTACGAGTCGTTTGACAAGGATCCGACACGTTTAAGTCTCTCAGCAGTTCACTGTCAATGATTTTTAGTCGAACGGTGTGTTCACGGTTTTCCAAGCTTTCATCGTCATTATGAAAACGTTCAAACTAGCGTACGAATCAATTTTTTATAGAAAAGCTTGTTTGAATACTTTTGAGAGAGAACTAAGAGCTTGCGCGGCATTTTTGACCAACTTAAATTTGTACCTTCCCGCGCATTTTTTGGAACAACGTTTTCTAAACGGAATTCCCAATTGAAAAAACAGAATGGCAAACTGAGACTATATATCAAACGATGCGCAAAAGAACGCTCTTTCGAATAAAAAAAAGGGGGAGCAAAAATGTTCTCCGGATAGAGAAATACGTTCCGACAAACACGCCACTCATTATTTTTTAGCCAACCTAATAGTTGAAACTTTCCTAGAATAAAAAAAACACGAGAAGAGGTAGAAAAAATAAAGTACAGAACATCGTTCTCCAAAAGTAGAGAAATTTTCCGAAGAGAGCGAAAAGACCTTGTGCCATCAATCAAATCTTTTGATTGGTGTAGGTAAGTTTAGTGAATTGAATTCGTTATGGGATGTTAGATTCGTCCTTCTTTTTTAAATAGATATAAGATGGTAGATGGCAAAGACCCGACTGGTTAAGAAACTGAATTCAATGCCCACCTCCACTGGACAGACATCTAGTATCAAAAAACGGAGAACGTTTGATCTTTTATGATCTTCAGGAGATTCATATTCAACTACTCTACAGTAAGACAAGAGTAAGCATACAGTAAGACAAGAGTAAGCATACAGTAAGACAAGCTTAAGATGGCCAGGTTAAGATGTCATGTAACTTTCCGATCTTCTTATTTATAGTGCAACCTTCTGAGCTAAGCTCCGCCTCATAATTTATAAGTCTTCTCTGGATTGCGATCAAGCATGACGTTTGCACAAATCACGGTAGAACTCTGAACAGAGTCACACTCTGACTGTCGGCCGCTCTCCTACTCTTTCGGAGCATCGGAGCAAACAAAAGACGAGTCATCGAGGTGGGTCAAAGAACCACACATAGAAAAAAGGTGTGAAAAAGAAGAAGAAAAAGTCGTTTAAAATGTGGTTCACATAATGAGATGTAGCGACAAAACAGGAGGAGGATATACAACAAGAAAATCCCTCCTTTTTGAAGGAAGTGGAAATTGGGGTCAAGTGAAAGTTTAGTAAATAACCTTGTATACACCTTGGGAGGCGAGAAAAAGTTGGAAGAAACCTTTCTATCCGGATGAGATTTTTCCTTAATTCCGATCTTCTACAATTGGGATAATTTGAAAATGACCGTACTCATAAGGAGGTTTTTTGTATTGAGTTTAGTGTCCATCACCACCAAGGAATCGAAGCTATTATAATTGAACGGTAATTATTTCTGGATTGATGATGAATTGACGATGAAATAAGAAGAGGCCAAGAACGCAAGAGATCGTACATTCCGAAATGAAACCTCGAGATGAAAAGAGAAAGAAGGAGAAGAAGGCCGTGTCCTTATCCAAGAAGCAAGTATTTGTTAGGCGACTGGATAATTGGTGTACGATCTCACACATTATTTTTCTCCTCCCTTTTCTTCAGTGGATTTAGAATGAATAGGTTTAAAAATAATTGAACACAAAAATTGTTGTATCCAGACACTAAAAATTATTGTCTTGTCTCCATATAAAGTGACGATGAATCCTACGGAATAAAGAAGGAGGATGACTGGTCTGTTTGCCCTTTGTATCTCCGAATTTCTTTCGGCTACCGTTCGATCACTTCAGCGTGAACATAAATTCCTCTCTGAACCTCTCATTTCGATGTGATCTTTTTTCATAAAGAGACAATATTTATCGTAGGTGGCAAAATATACAAACAAGGGTGCAAAAGAAAAGAGATTCAAAGTTTTATAAGGTACTGTGATGACAGTTGTTATTATTGTTATGATTGTTTGTCTGCTCTCCAGATACAGACGAGTTCCGTTTGGAGTCCACTTCGATCAAGAAAGTTTCCATGGGCTCCTGAAAATATACTGATGTATTGTTCAATTGCTTCTTTCGATTTTGCACGTCCCAATTTCCTCACAATATGTGATAGTGAGATCATTTTGTGTCTAGTCAGTATAGACCAAAACCGAAAAAGAAGCCAACCACCCACAGGAAAAAACGCAACCACTGCGAAGTTATCATCAAATCGCAACAACTAGTTCTTTAACCTTCAGAGAAATTATGAAAACTATCAGTCAACCAATTAGGGTCATTTTCTTGATTAGCTATGCACTTTTTATATTTTTCTCAAAATTCAAACCTTGACTCCTTTGACTCGAATCTTTCCGCGACTCTGAACTCGATAGCCACCCGCTCGAAGAATATTCCCCATATCCGTTGTCGCATGAATCTTTCTTGGTTCTCCATGAGTATCCATTCTGCTTGCCAGGTTTACCGTGTTTCCCCATATATCATACTGAGGTTTTTGAGCGCCAATAACGCCAGCCACCAGAGGACCAACGCTCATTCCGATTCTCAGTTCGAAGTTTTGGAAGGAATCCCTGTTCAGACCATCCAGGATTTGTGACATCGCTAGTGCAAACTCAATCATAACGTTCGCATTTCGGAACGCAGTGTTTCCGATTCGAAGGTTATTATTGAACTTTCCATGACTTTGTTTCTCCAGATATACCTGAAACAACGGATACATTTGATAATCCGGGAAACAAGTGAACTCACATCATCATCGTAATCAGTTTCCGTTTCATTCAATCCAGCAGCTGCCATATATGTGCTTCCAACTGTCTTTATTTTTTCGACACTCGAAAATTTGGGTTTTGACAGTAGCTTATCGAATTCGCAAACGATTTCATTAAGCAAACGAAGACATTCTAATTTTCGATTCGTATCCCATTCGCTCCAGAAATCTTTGAAATTGGGAATCGAAGCAAACATGACACATACGTTGTCATGTTGACGAGCGTATAACTCCTGAAATATAATATAGTGGTCAGCTGGAGTGAGAATGGAATCGTGACTAGATTGGAATTTTAGATGATTATGAGCAAAACTAGAGAAAAAACTGAAAGTATCTAAAAAAAACATAATTAGTGATTTCATAACTATACTTCAGCAAATTCCTACTTCTCAATTTACCAGACTATTGACATAATGACACATTTTGATCACTCTTCTTCTTCTTCTTTTTGTTTGTTATCTACAGCAAAACTCAAAAAAACAACTCACATTGACCGCTCGATCGGGTGATAAGAATTTAGCAGCAACGCTTGATGGAAGGATATTTTCAATGAGAATCTTATTGATATCTTGCATGGTTTCAACATCTCGTTCTTCATTTTGAAATGACACATGACATGCACTTTCCCGTTTTCTCTCGTAGTTTGTCTGAAAGTAGGCCAACATCTGGCATTGAGGAATATGAATGAACTTACAATCCAGTCGATAAAGAAAAGAAGAATTACAAGAAGTGATAAACTGATAGAGACCACTGATAAGTGATATCTGAAAAGCGTCATTCCGTTTTGAGATCTGAACCGTGCTTATCTCACCCCATATACCCAACATAAACTTCAGCTCCATAGGCTGGGAATAGAGAAAGTAGAACTTGGAATATGACAAAATCCGTAAAGAATAAGAAACAACGATGGGAATAAGGGAGTCGGTAAAGAATGAAAACTGAGACGAGATGGCTGACACAACTGGGAAGAAAGATCAATGAGTTGAATGCCATCACTCCTTCAAGTTTGGACTTTCTGATGATTATCTGAAAATTTTAAGCTGCTCAAGTTTCAAGCAGGAGTGGGATATTTACATGAGGTCCGATTGGAATACAAGATGACAATAAGAAGGCGGTCATTGTGATCAATGGCCCTGCGTATGAACAAACTCGGCCGAGAATTGACAGCAATGCCAGCCCGATAACAGTGAAACTTTGTTGGAGAGAAATTTGTTGGAGAACATCGGCTCTAAAATGTTTGGAATAGTATAAAAAGAATCCTGGTGCTCGGTACTTACGGGCAGTAGAGAGCACATAGAAGGAGATTAGCAATTGCGGAAGGAATGCTCACAAGCATCAGAAGTGCACAATCTGATAAATTACAAGTAATTGAATCAATCTTGAATGGAAAAAGAAGTTTTGGAGAGGCTGGGATTGTCGGTAGTTCGCAGTTGAACATGGAATTGATACTGAAAATGAATCTTCAGGCTTGAAGCTCACAGAAACAAACTTATTGAAGGAAAAGTTGGTTAGATTGTTTTCAATCAAAGTCATCGATGGAATAGTGTTGATATATGTAGGTCGGCGAGCAATTTCATCCTGTAACTTTTACTTTGGATGAAATTTTAATTTCTCAAAAACAAACCGTAATCAGTGCTGGGTCGTGGGAAGTTGACAATTTTTTCTTCGTAAAATTAGCGAAAGGAGTTTCAGCACCCCAAAACTCGACCATTTTCGACACTTTTGCTTTCATACTCATTCTGGATTGAAGTGCTGGACTTGTTGATAATCGACTGTTTCGGTAAATAGAAGCAGTTCGTTCGATAGCTGATGTCTTATCCGGAAGAATGTGATATGTTGGCTGACCGTATGATACTACATGTGGATCATCAGAACTGGAAATAAATATTTTTTCCAATCAGTTTTAGTTCCCTTACACTGCCTCTACAATACAGTAATCTCCCAATAGCCTCTCTTGAGTGGATTTTGTGATGTGAACGGCACCAGGAACTCCAGCGGATTCCATGTGATTTGCAAGAGTGACATCGTCACTCCAAATGTCAAACTGCCACTTTCGAAGGCCCATAATTCCACAGAGAACTGAGCCAGTGTGAACTCCGATTCTCATATTCACATCTACTCCGGTGGCAATACGCACTTGTCTGGAATGAACTGATTAAAAATAGTTTAAGATTCTAGATTACTTGATAGTGTTGATCATTTCCAGACCCATCACAACACACATATCTGCATGATTTGGTCGATTAACAGGCATTCCTGACACACAATAATAGCAGTCTCCGAGAAATTTGATACGCATACACTGAAGACGTTGGGCGTCTCGATCGAACTTGGAGTAGAGTTCATTCAGTGTTCTCACAAGATCTCTCGCTGTTAGCTGAGCAGCTAACACTGTGAAATTCACAATATCAGCAAACAGAATGCTAGAAACAGTAAGACCGTAATTGATGAATTATCTGTGACACTTTACCTAACGTTATCATGAACCTGGACATGGAGATCATGGAAAAGCTTGTGGTTCTTAGAATTAGTAGGTTTCCCAGTTCCTGTACTACTGGACTGAATGATACTCTTGCTGACCTGATCCGCTAAATATGCGGGGATAACTGACAAGAGTAACTGTTCCTGTCTATCCTTCAACGTCTCCAACTCAGTTCTTCTGTAGACAGCTTCAGTTAACTTTTTCGCAATCTCTGAACGGTTCCCTGCTTCGTTGGAATCTGCTATAACTCCCACAAACGCAATGACTCCTTGGTGAAGAAGCAGAGAGACGCACTGCAAAAATCAAAAAGTTGTTTTCTATTTGAGCCAATTTGAAAAGAAAATAATTGCTCTTACCGAGCATATGAAAAGAGTGTTGGCATTGAGAGCGTCCCAGTTGATTACGACAATCAAGAAGAAATTGGCTACGATCCATATAATGGAAACCACAAAAAAGACTCGACGGTGACGAGGAAGAATGAAGAATTGGACTACTGTAAGATGGTTTTTTGGACATTTTGGGACAAAGTGGAAAAGGAGACCTGAAGATATGCATAGACTTGTATAAAGTGCTGAATGGTCGTGTTCGTTGGTGTGAATTCGTTCGCGACTCACAAAAATAACAACAGGGAGATGAAGAATCCAAGAAAAGGCAGGTAATAAAAACACCAATGAAAGTGATATAAGCACTATACCGACACCATCCTTCTATAACACAATTCTTTTTTTTTCACAAACAAGACTTTGGAAAAAGAGTCTCAAAACAGAATAACTCACTGGCTGTCGTATACGAATTGCAAAACATGTTAAGATGAGATATGCAACGAAGAATATGGATGCATAGAAACAAAATGGAGACCACTTTTTCACCTGAAATAATCCTTCAGGTTATATTTGACTTGAATTATAAATAACTCACCCTCTCATGATTTTCTTTGGATTGCGGTCGATCTGATTCCAACATCAAAACTGAGTAAACTTCAGAGAAATAGTATTCGATGAATATCTGAGCAGCAGCATAGAGCAAAAGCCAAAGATGAATTGTATGAAGACGTGCTTTGTCTAGTGAACGCCAATGTTTTACCAGTACAGAACGGATTTCGGCCCGCGTTGTCGACATCTCCATTATTGCCGACATTCCGCGTCTGAAAAAAAAAGAAACTGTTTTCAACAAGGGGTTTTCAGAATAAGTGGGCGGAGTCTATGAAGACAACAGTGACGCAGACAATTGTAGGAGGACGCGAACTTTCTTAAACATGTAGAAAGCAACAAACAGGTGGAATATGTAAAAGGTGCATTATTGAGACAAGCGCTATTTTGAGTTAATCTGATTTACGCATTCGATTATAACTGAATTTTATCAAAACATAATATTTCAAAAGCAATTAGATTCTTCTATTCCTCGAACTGACCATTTAATTTCGAATTTCAAAAAAGAAGAACATAAACAAAAAGGTACCTCTTTTTTCTCCCTCTGCTCCGTTTCATTGTGCTCCGTTTTCGGAGACCATGAGTAGTTTTCAGCATGAGTATGGAAGAAGAATTTCAGCAAGTTATTGTTCAGAATAAATGGGTCGAGGTAGTTGCTGGGAGAGGAGAAGTAGTAGGAGAAGAAGGAAAGCGTATGTGCTGTGTCTCTTCAAATAATGAAAACGTCTTCATCATCATCCTAACTTTTGTGTGCACATGTCTCATTCCAACTGAATACACAAAACAAACAGCCTCCGGGGTTCGTGGAGCTTCTGAATCCGCTACCGGATGAGAATATTTTTGGGAATTGAAACTGATGATGTGGGATAATGCATTTCAGAGAATTAATATGATCTCCAATCCCGGTGCCAAAACGGAAAAGAGCATAAAAAAGAAGAGCATGATGTAAAAAGGGACCGATGACTCGGATTAACAAGTTTGAACTGACGCGGTTAAAGAAAAAAGAACATGAAAAGAGAATAAGCAGAACACCTCATCTATGTAACAAAGAGGTGATACTTCAAGTGATTTTCGAGAAGTGAAAAAAGAAGAAAACAAAAAATTGTAGAACAAATTCAAAACTTTTTCCAAAATTCTAAATCTTCAATATTTCTTTTCTGAAACATTAATGAATGTTTTTGAGGGTTGGTATAGGACATGAATGTATTTTTGTTAGTTAATGTTCAGAAAATAATCAGGTATTTTTTAGTTTTTTTGCTAGCTTAGGTGGAAAGTTACTGATATTCTACTTGGCTCATTCCGGGTCAGGACAGGGGCGGAAAAAATTCTTCCGGCCACCCGGCCCGATCGGCCTGTATAGCTGATTTTCTGAAAACCATTGAAAAATTTTAATGAATTCCAATTGAAAGAAAATTCCCCGAAACATAATGTACATACAAGGATCATGGTCGGCCTGGGCCAGGAGTTTTTTTTTCATTTCGACAGACATCAATAATTGGAATATCCTGTTTTCAATCACTAATAGACTGACATTAAAATATATACCTTATACCCAAAAACAGCATTCGGTAAAAGGCATAAAAACATAAGAATATATCCAGAAATCTCCATCTCAATCTCTTCCCAAAAAGACGAAAGAGTCTTGGTTTGGTGTGTCCGTGTCTGTCATTCACACATATTCTCGGCAGTATTCGGCGGTTCGTTGTGAGATTCATTCAATCAGAATGGGATACTCTCGTCCGCGAAAAATTCTTCATTTTCCCCCTTCCCTTTAAACATGGAAAAGAAAAGAGTTCGGAAAACGAATCAGATTCATAAAAATTTTACAAGACGATCGTCAATAAAAATTGGTTGAAAAACAAAACTATTCAGGGATAGAAAATTAGACATGATGCACAAGAAAGAAGCGTCAAGAGCTCTTCAGGTCAGACTCTTTTTGTGCATATCAATCAGCACACATCATTTTTATTTCAAGTGGAGAGCATAAAAATGGTTAAGGTGGGCAAAGATTGACCAACGAAAGTTGCGAACATTGGTTTCCAGAAAAGTCTGAAAATGGCTTCTCTAGTTTAAAAATGCGTCATTGGTAACTGGAAAAGGATTCTAAATGCGTATAATTGGTAAGAATCTGATCTTTAGAAGCCTTTTGCAAAGCTCAATGGCCAAGAAAAATAACTTTTCAGGCTCAAAATATTTGGGATATGAAACAACAGATGTGCTCTACTTTTTTTTGTTATTTGCAATAGTTTCTTTTGCCGTTTGAATTTCTTTTTGCCTTTGCTGGGGATGAAAAATTATCCCCTCGAGTCTGATACAAAAGTCATAAGTTGACTTTATCGTCTTTGTTTTTTTTTTCTGAAATCTGGAAGTAAGGGGACCTCCCATTTATCTTTTTAACACAAATAACGAGACTTGGGAACATATGTTTTCTAGTTCCGGGAACCCAAAAACTAGATACAGTTTGAAAAATATGAACAAAGTATCACAGATCTGGCATTTTTTTAGGGTAGGAAGGTTACGGTGGGCCCTCATACATATTAGAAGGTACCGTAGCTCCTGGCCAAACCCTATTTTGAGATTAGTTCTTTGTTTGAAAAATTCATTCAGATACAAATCGAAATAAAAAGATGAAAAAAGCAAAGCAAAGGACAAAAGTGGTCCGAATAGAGCACCGCGAGAAATTCGAGAAACATGAGACATTTGTGCCGTCCGTTTTTTTTCCAAAAACGGATGGATTGAGTGCCAAAATCGGATGAAAAAGGGAAAAAATTGAAAGAAAGGAAGAAAGGATGGGTGGGATAGAAGAAGCAGTCTGGAATGATGATTGACGTTTCTTTTTTTGCTCAAATTTTATCCCTTCGTCTCCGGTTTTTATTTCAACGTTTCAATTGATGGATGATGTGACATTGGCGGGTTCAGAAGATGATGGAAAAATTAGGGATTCAGATGAAGGTTATGATTCGTCTTGACAAGTCCGCTGGCTAAGTATGATGCTAATACCTTCTGTAGTTAGTGTATTTTTAGCTACCGTAATCCAAAAGTCAGGTGCATGAAGAGTTTCAAAGGACTAGTAAAATTCAACGATTCTTGCTCTTAGCAGATCATATTAAAATGAATGTGTATCGCTCTTCGCCCCCGTTATCTGTTTCAATAGTTTTATAGTTCAACAGAGCGGACGTGCATACTTCAAGAATCTGTCAGAATCCATATACGTTTTTGTTTCTTATTCATGCATACACAACAAACGAATATACAGAAGAGGCATTTCATATATAGGAGAAGATGACATGTTGGAAAATGAATTCTCAAGAAAATGTAGAAGTTCATATATGAGGGATTTAGAGAGGGTAGGTCTAAAATTGGATGCGATTCGCTAGCAACGGTGTTCAAGGGATCTATTTATAAATATCCACAATGGAAAATTCTCTGCTAATTTAAATAATGGAAGTAGATCCCCTAGACATAATATGGTCATTTTGGATCTTCTAGATCCTAGTACAAATTCTAGATGCCTTATATAAACCTCAACAAACCAAAATCTAAATCATTCCCAAGATCAAACATAGATATTTATCGAAGACCTCTTCCGCAATCTCGCATTAATTAACAAACAAAAAATGCATTCACCCTTTTCCGTTTCTTGTCTTCCAGTCATTTAATTTATAAACGATTTATGATGCTTTTGATACTCCATAGAATGAGGTCAAAAGTGTGTAAAAAAGGAGTAATCTGAAAAATGAAGACGGAAAAAAAATGAGAATGATGGAAGATGTTTGCATTCATTTCCTGCCGTTTTTTCTCTATTGAATACCTAATCATAGGGGAATAGAGATGGGAAAGAAAATTGAGTGATGCTCTTTTGAATTTTTAAGAAAAAACAAATTTTCCAATTTTCCAGGCAAAAACAGGAAAGGACGAGAAACGGCGAAAGAAGAAGAATAAGGAAGAATGCATTGTTAGATCTTTCACAAAGAAAAACGAAACACGAGCCAATTTCTTCTCTCGATGCTCTAATTTTTGTGCTTCTGATGATGGTAGCCAATTGGATGTCGATGTGTGAAGATGAGGGTGGAAAGAAGACGTCTAGTTCGCAGCTATGGTTTGCTTGACCTTGTTTTCCAGATATACCGTGCCACCATCAATGTGCGGGAAATGGGAAAACTGAAGGACTGGCACTGCTGAGAAATATCGTAAACACTCCAAAAGCAACACAACACCTTCAACTTTGAGCCCATATATCTTGGTTCCTGTAGAAGATATCAAAAAGTGGCCAACTGACAAAATATTTTTGATGTTCTGATAAACAATTTATCAGTTGACCACTTTTCGATATCTTTTACAGGAACCGAGATATATGGGCTCAAAGTTGGCGGTTTGGGTGGCCTTCTGTTAGTTTACGGTAATAATCGTGACTTTCCTTCAGAGCTTTCAACCAGTAACGTAAAGCTTTAAACCATTTATCTCAGAAAATAGATATGACAAAAATTTGAAGATAATTATATTAATTAAACTATTGGTCCCTCATCAGAATGCGTACGCGTTGAGCTCCTGTGTCGAATCGATGGTGATCGTGGCATGAACGATTGGAAAGAATCGCGAAGTTCGTCGATTTCTGGAGACGTCAATCCCTGAAACACAATTGTTTACCACTTAAGACTTCTTCTATAGTTTCTCTACCTCTAGTATATCTAGATCATGTGGTCGTGATGTGCCCACGGACCTTCCAATAAGCACGTCAGACAAATCGAAGCAGAGCTGAAAATGAAAAAAGAGGATTTCGGAAAACACTAGGAAATCAAACTTACACTTCGGAAACTATCATCATCTAATGACGCCTCTTCCTCGATTATTCGAATTACGGACTGCTCGGTTGCAGATTCAAAGAAGCGAATTGCTGGAAATGTTTAATATAAATAATCGGAAATATACTTTATACCTACTGTAGGATGTTAAATTTCCGGCCAATTCGTTTGCAGCTGGATTGAAGTTCGATGGTGGTTTCGCTCCAATCATATTCATTCTTGGAAACACATAACACGTAACGAGTTGTGGACGTTCTCCTCGTCTATCTTCTTCTTTCTCAGCCCCCGTTGTTCTTATCGGTTGGGCTCTGGCAAGGAACAAATTGTGTGCCTGATTCGTTTCTGTCAAGTGTTCGACACATTTGTAGATGTTCCTGAAAAATGCGATACAAATAGATTGGTTTTGTGGAATTCGTTGGTTTTCTATATTCAATCGAAGATGTTATTACGTTTTGAATTGCTCGTAGTTTTCCATGCAGTCCAGTTGAAAAACGATAGCCGGGCAAATCCAGATGGGCGGTCGGATGACAAAAACATTTGGCACATCGTGAAGAGGTTCACATTTCTATAAAACATAGGTTTATTATAGACACAAGAGTAGTTCAGGAATTATAACAAACCCTATTAATCAGATCCGAATCATAAGGCCAATACACTGCATGCAGATGCAGATGATTCACCGAAGCTTGACCAAGAAGGCTGTTGAAGAGAATATGGAACATATCGTCGTCTACTAAAAGCATCAAATCCACAGCAATTCGAACTGCTTGAAGTGTCAGAACTTGAGGATTGCACTTGTTGACAGATGGTACAATTAATGAGTGATCTCTCTCCAATGGAGATGCATTGACAGCAACCAAATGGCGATCTAATGGATCATTGCTGATCGGATCAGCATCACATTTTAGGTAGAACAAAATCTGAAAAATATTATTTTTAGAATGGAAATACGAATTCTAAATTCGGAGACACACCTCATTATCATGCAACTTGGTGAAATTAAATCTCAAGTGGTTAAAGGGCTCTTTGATGTTTTTGAAGTGCATCGGTTTTCGTCGTAGTTCTCCTCTTTCGATGTTCAACTGAACGTTTCAGATTTATGATCTCTTTATGAAATAATAATAAGCAAACCTGCATAGACAGATCATATTTCCCATCCATACATCTATACATGCAATTGAGTGAATAATTGAATGCATTGAACTGCTTCGAGTTTTCCCATCGTTCATGAAGAAGGTCTTTGAGCTAGAATTAAAAGAAGAACTATTGGATACACTGTACCGTTCATACTAACCTGTTTCTTTCCATCATCTGTTTCTGTATGTCCATTTTGATAATTCTCTTCTGATTCCTTGTGAGTTCTCAAATCCAGAATAAAATCGCTCGGCGAATAATTGAAATACGGCGCAGAAGATGCTGAAGGGGAGAACTCGGCGGGTAGCTGAAAGATTGACGATTTTACCATTTGTGAAGCGGTTTTCCGTTTCTTCCTCTTCTTTTAAAATTTTCAAAGTGTTCAAGACTAAAAATTGGTGCTTCAGAAGGGTGTCGAAGAGCGGAACTAATCCTGGTAATCTCTCTTTCTCGTCCTACGTTTTTTTGTTTACTTTAGTGGCTCGAAGTGGCTCGGTATTATAAATTTTAAGTGTTTTATTAGGAATTAGAAGCAGAAGTTTCAAAACTTGGAAATTTCGAAAAATTCTAAAATCCATCTTTCCAACCAATTCAATTTTCCTATTTCATGAAATGGTGAACATGTGGACAGAAGCTCGTAAAAGTACAAATTGGTTGTCGATTTCGTTGTGCGAGGACACAAATTTTTTCAGTTAGAAGACATGACAAAGTGGATGACGAAAGAAAAAAGAAAAGAAGAATTGAATTGCTTTTGGTGTGTGCGAAGGAGAAGAAGAAGCCAGAAGAAGTTGTGGAAGAAGCCAGAGAATGACGAGGAGTGATAAACGACCTTTTTTGGGTTACCAGAATATTTTTGGGTATACGGAAAGTTAGGAGTTTTTTGGTGCTTAGTTGTTTTTTCGCTTAAAAAAGGTGCTTTGTTCAAATACGAGTATTCGGTTGGATGAGAAAATAGCTAAGAACTCGATAAGGGATACTTTCTAGAACAGAATAGAAGTACTTCAAGGAAGTTGGAAAACTGTTTGAACTGGAATTATACAACTTGAACTACAAATTACAAAACATATACTTCTTATTGTAACTATAGTTCTTATTGTGGAAAAATTGAACGTTTTCTTTTTTTTTAAATTTTCTTCTTACTAAATTAATAAGGATTGATGATATACCTCTGTATGACCCTAAACTATGCGAGATTACTGTAGAAACTTCGAATAACAGGATTAAAATGTTTGGAAAAAACACAAACTTTTATATTCAAATGTTACCTGTATGGAAAATGAGCTTACCTGGATAGAAGAGACAGATCTTTGCGTCCGCGCATTGGCACCCAACATCACGATTTTCCGCATAGGCATCTTGTCGACGGGGCGGGGTCTTCTGGAACAAGAGAGTGGAGAGATTTAGAGAAATAAACGAACAGAGTGAAGGAAAAATAGTTACGCATGTGGTGAGGAGCACAGATAGACGGATTTGACGAGCTGCCGGATGGAGGAGAAGATGAAAAAGCACGGGATATTTAGACCAAAAGAAAAAGCATACATATACATAAAACAAGCTAAAAACGAGTGGGATGCAAGATGAATTGGGTTAGGAAGTTTGGGCTCGTTTGGATGGTTATGGACTTTAGAATCTGCCACAGTACTCTTCAATTCTAGATCACTCTTTGAAGATAAGGGATTTCGATAATCCTTCTGGGAAATTCAAAAATTATGTTACATAACTGATATATTCAGAATTCTTATTGTTCCGATTATCATAACAGTTTTTTATTTGAAAATACAACTGGGATTTTCGAAACGAAGAGAATCCACTATATTTTTTATGCTTTTTAAAATTTCTTTTTCGTTTTCTTTCCCTTTGAAAAAGGTCTCTTTATTTTTGTCGAGAAAAAAATATAAATCTATCGTACCAGCCACATGTATGAATTTTTGCATTAAGTATCACCACGAAAATATACTGTACTAGCAGAATTTCAGTTTTTTTAAAAATCCTTTTTCTTTCCGGCTTTTAATGAAAAAGTTGGGTTTTTTAATGAATCAAACAAAAAAACTCGCACCAATTGCATCATTTTTTTCCAATTAATTGCCCAATTAAAGTGGATTTTGTTATATGAGCAAAAATTGACCGAGTTGGCAAAAACAAAAATTACTAAAAGCGTTTTCGCACAAAGAGCATAGGGCAGACAAGTTGAAAATGCCGTGTTGCTCACCGACACAGCTAACTGAACTAACAACACAATGGTCAGTTAGTGAGAGCAGCTGTGAAGAGGAGTCAGGAGCACTCTACACTACTAGATGAGAGAGCCTCTCTTTCCTCTAGTTGTCGCCACAAAAATACTTTGACGATTCTAGAATCGGATTATCCAGGCATGAAATTTTCATTTCAATCTTCCCCATTGTTTTCTCCATCGGATCTTTCATTTTTCTTCAAACAACTTCTGGCATCATTCTTTTGATGGTCACTCTTCTTTGCGTCTCTTCGCTTTTTCTTTTTCTCCCTGCGTCTCTCTCTCTCTCTGTTTACTTCTCGGTGTTCACATTGATTTTCAAAAGTTGTATCTTGTTTTTCAGAGAAATTCAAGAATTTCGAAACCTATTTTCGGTGCATGAGACGACTTCAATTAATTTCAACTCTATTGTTATTCTCAACTAGCAGAAATATGGCTTGGAGATCGAGTGGCTCGAGCAATGCGGAGCTCGTTGAAAACTTGAGAAGTGAGTTTTGTTTTTGGAAAGTGAGAACAAGTGTTGAAAAGAACGTACTAGCATTGATTGAGATTGAAATACAAAAAAAAAGAAATAGTTCGCGACCGAGAAAAATTGAAGGCACAATTCGAATTGCAATTCGAAGGTTGAAATAACTGGTTGCACACTTGTATACGATCAGGAATTTCGCAAAAGATAGAAAAAGCAAATCCTCTGAAATTTGAGAAGACTAGCACACTAAACTGGGAAGGAATACACGAAGACTCTATTGGGGGCGAGGAAGAAGAAGAAACGAGACAAACCCAATTAATTCGGAAAGAACAGAACACCAGCTAAACATGCAAAGCTAATTATTGGTTTGTTCAGAAAATGGAGTGTTCAGCAATCAAAGAGCCTACGATGCAATGAAGGCCGTTGACCGTGGTGACTTCGCATCCAGAGATCCCTATGAAGATGCTCCACAGAGAATTGGATACAATGCCACTATTTCAGCGCCACATATGGTGAGCATTTAATTTTAAAGAAGAAACTGGAAAACAAAGTAGTTAACTGAAAACAAAACCAACGGTTTAATGAAAAACGGAAGAATGAAATTGATGCATAGAACACTGTTGTGACCTACTAGTTGGCGACCGTCGTTTTACTACTTAATTTGAGATAAGATACAGATTTTGTTCAGAGATTCTAAACACATAAAATTATTCTGGCGCACAGATTTGATCTGTGGAAGAGAAACGTCGGTGGCCGTGGGCGAATGTATCACAACGACAACTATCGTAACCTAAGAATAATTTATTCTCATTATTTACTATCTCGTTTTTCATTGCGTGAAAAAAGAATTGACGGAAAATGCACGAAAATTGAAAAAAATAAACTCTGAAAATAATAATAATTTAGGTTATGGTAGCTGTCGTTCCGGAACGTTCGGCCACGGCCACCGGTGTTTCTCTTCCACAGCTCCGATTTTTCGTACCAGAATAAAATTTACAAGTACATTTTTGCAAATTTTTGTAAATTATCAAACTGAATCTAGAACAATACATTAGTAGTTTAGGAATAAAAACGACTAGGATCTCTAAAAATTCTCTGAGCCTTCACAAAAGCTGCCAACTGAGCTCATCTTTCCAATCTCTCTGTTCCCAATGGCACTTTTTTTCATTGACAGCACGCAGCTGCTCTCGAATACCTCCAGAACCACCTGGTCGCTGGTGCAAATGCTCTCGATGTCGGTTCGGGAAGTGGATATTTGACAGTTTGCATGGCAATAATGGTAAATGAATTTTATCACATTGGTAAAAATTTGTACTAATTTAGGTTGGACAAACAGGAACTGTTGTTGGAATCGAGCACATGTCGGAATTGGTAGAATTGAGCACAAAGAACATCAAAAAACATCACAGTGAGATGATAGAGAATGGAAACGTCGTTATGATTGATGTGAGTTTTGGGAGACTGTATTAAAAAATATATTGATGTCTAAAAATATCCGAAAGAGGAAGCAAAAAAGAAAAAAAGCGGAACAACATTGTGTGAAAAAACAAAACAAAAGAAGCTCTGAATACCTCATTCTTCCAGGGAGACGGTCGTCAAGGGTATGCAGAGAAGGCTCCATACAATGCGATTCACGTTGGAGCAGCTGCGGCAGGAGTCCCCAAGGCGGTACGTGACCGAGAAGAAATGAAATAAAAACATGAAAAATTCGGATTCCTCTTTTTTCTTTCTGTGCCGTCCGGATCACATGCACACATGCACAAATTGAATCGAGAATCCACAATAAGGAGGTGTTTCTTTATGTCGTTTTTTGTGGTCAATAAAAATTCGAAGAACCGCTAGATGCAAACCGAAAAAGGTCATATGTGGTGGCCGAAAACCGGAGATGAGCCACGTTGCGGGGAGGGAATTAGCATAACTGTGATTGAACTACTACTGAACTATATAAATTGTATCAAATTTGAAAACCAAAACGCAACTAATTTAAAATTCAAAGTTTGGTATTTAATCTGTGCTGACAAAGACCATATTTTGAATACGGCATTTCGGGGGAAACTGTATTATTAACTTTTTTCTAAATTTCAGCTCACTGACCAACTGGCTGACGGAGGAAGAATGATGATACCAGTGGAACAAGAAGACGGAAATCAGGTCTTCATGCAAATCGATAAAATCAACGGGAAGATTCATGAGAAAATCGTGGAGCATGTCATCTACGTACCGTTGACAAGCCGTGACAAGCAATGGAGTCATCATCATTAAATTATCGAGTCTAGATTAAATCCGTTGTGCATATTGTACATTTTGTATATAATTCTTCTGTCTGTCCGGTGTGTTGTAAAAATAAACTGAAAATGTTTTTAAATTTGACATCTGTTTTCAGGTACTCATCTTCTTCTTGGAATCGTCTTCTTCTCTATCGTCAAGTGTCACTCATTAGGGAAGAGAGCCGAGTATTTGAGAAGACATAACGCAATTTCTTATTTTACGTCTTTTTTCCTGACTTCTTGTTCGTTTACTTTTTCCTCTGTTTCGGTCAAAAGAGATATTCTTCCATCCATTTTGGGCAAGAAGATTGACATATTCTCCGGAATTGTCTTGTCTCTTTTTGTCTTCCGGTGAAAAATAACTAAATTGTTGTTTTCGATTGGTTTGAAATCGGTTAGAATAAATGATCGAGTGACATTAGATGGCAGTTTTTGAAGAAGTACCGTAATCCCAGTAATAGAAGGGCCTAATAACATTTAACTTTGAGTCAGTTTCTCTAGGTTTCTATTAAAAAGTTATCAACTGAAAAAAAATTGTCCAACATAATATCACAAACATTTTATTAAAAATTGTCCAACATAATATCCCAAACATTTCATTAGTTGACAAATTTTGGATATCTTGCATAGCAATTGAGATAATTGAGCTCAAACTTGACAGTATGGGGACTCTTTATTACAGGTTTTACCGTGTTCAGTTTGGGGAATCCGAAAAAATAGTTCAGAATTTTTTTCCCGAATGATCTGTAGTATTCTGAGAATAGTGAACTCTTTTTTACAAATTATTCCGTAGTATTGAAAAACTGAATAACTATTTGCAGTCTTTCGACTAATATTTTCTTAAGGAATCCGTAGTCAATAATAATAAAAAAACACTATTCTTATGTTCATGTGAAATGTTTGTTAATAGCTTTCAAATCAATCCTTGAACTGAATATTTTTCCGAAGTATACCAGGATTTCCGATTCTTAGGATCTCCATGAACAAACTATTTTCCAGATACTCTCAGCCTACTGTTGAGAGTTCTGAATTTCAAATGCTATTACTAGTGGGATTACTGTAATCTCATATCACGTTACAATACAATAAGCTCAAGCTACAGTCTCTCAACGCTCCCCTAATTTCAAATAGTAAAACCCCTAGCCTCATCTTTCAGTTTTTTCAGTCTTCTCCTCTACTCGTTGAAACACATTGACCTAAAAAAGAAAAGTCAACACTCAAAAGTTCCTTTCCACTGTTGTCATTTTCATGTGTCTCGTTTTGGGGGCTCATTCGTTCGTCGAATACACCCTCTCCCCTCTTCCCACAAACCCACAAAACTCATCAATTTTCAACGCTCGGCACATGTTCTTTTTGTTTCGCTTGCATTTTTCTTCCCTTCTTCATTTTAACCACACATGACTCTAAGAACCCTTTTTTAGTTCTTGACTTTTTACAATTACTCGAAAATGCTGTGTGTGGCAATAGCGGGTTAGTAGGGGTCGTAGGGTAACAACAACGTATACTAAGATTTTAGAAAGTGATAAGAAAAAGCAATTTCTCGTTTAGACGAAGTTGTTTTTCCGGAGGGAGGTTTCACGAAAAAGATGGCATCGGAAATCAACAAAAATACTTTACTTTTTGCTATTTGGGTTGACACAAACATTTATTTTAGTTTTACAGAAAAGGACCAGGTTGAGAAGTTTCAGCTTCTTGCGATTGGTTCTATAATTCTCTATAAATTGAGATTGTTACTAAATTTCTTTCTTTTGAAGATTCTTATGAACTAAACTGATCGGATTCTATAGTTTCTTTGTCCTCAGAACTTTTCTATCTCCTTTCTCTCCCAAAACCAAATTCAACATGCAATTCAGTTAATATCTAATGGCATGCACTTTTTCTTTGTTCCCAAAATCTGATCCATGATTCTCAAGTTGTTTTGGGAAGCGAATTTCCTCCGATTTACCTGTTCTCTATTCCATTTTTCCCACATCCCTGTCCACTTTTCCTCCCACTCGTTTTTACTTTTTTCGTCGTTCTTCTTCTCATTGTGCTTTTGTTTTTTTGGCTTTTTTGTAACTATTCTCTTCTTTTTAGTCTACCTTCTTTCCTTTTTTACTTATTCTTTTTGTTTCTTCTACCCCAGTTGCTCTCGAAAAGACAATTGAGACACAAAAATATTGTTAGTGAGCAGTGGTATGTATATAAATGGTGTTGGGTGGTCCAGGAAGACATTGCAAATGATGTGTCTCTTTGTATACTTGAAGAAGAAGAAAAGAATAAGAAAAAAGGAGTAGTTGAAAACTACACTCATAACTCCTGCGATGGTTTCCAGGAGCTACTTGGTTCGAGACATTTTTATAACTGAATTTGGGACAGAGAGCTTCGAGATTTTTTCACTAACGTTTTAAAATTTTAGGACTATCACTGATAGTCTATCAGGCGGGTTTACCAGTTGTTCCCGCACTTTTTTAGTGAATCAAAATACCGTAAACGCTTCAATAGAGTGCCATCGAAACCGACAACTTTGAGCTCAAACATCTAGTTTTCTATAAAAGATATCAAAAAGTGGTCAACTGGCAAAATGTTTATCATAATATTAAAAATATTTTGTCAATTGAACGATTTTTGATATCTTTTACAGAACAGAGATAAATTGGCTCAAAATTTGCGTAGTACATAATTGGAGTGTTTACGGTAATTCGTGCATGTAAAATGACAGTGTTCGAATTCTCTTCTATTAGAGGCAAGTGTTACGAAAATATTTTGAATTAAAAAGAAAATTGATTTGTAACTCTGAACTTTGCGACAGTCTATCCCGAATATCGTACCATCAAATAACCGTAAAACCTGTAATAGAAGGGTCCCCTGACTTTGAACTTTGAGCCAATTTATCTAATTTCCTGTGAAAGATATAAAAAATTTGTCAACTAATAAATTGTTTATCACAATATCAGAAGCAATTTATCAGTTGACACATTTTTTATATCTCTTACAGTAACCGAGACAATTGAGCTCAAGCTTGATAGTGTAGGGGCCCTTCTATAACAGGTTTTCCGATACCATTTTTCATAAATTCCTTGATCTCATTCGATAGCATTTCCTCCCAATCCAACTCAGAACACAAATATTTTCATCCATTCCCTTCTTACTTTAGTTTTCAGGAAAAGTCATTAACAAAATTAGTTAGGCGGAATGATGTCCTTCGTTTTTTTTTTCTTCTTCCTCCCGACAAATTCTATGAGCAATTGTGTGTTCCCGCCTCCCACTCCAGTCGAAAAATGGAAGAGTTAGGTTTTCAGTTTTCCATGGTCTTCAGAAGGATATCAAATTTCGATTGACATCGTCGTCAGAAAAATTCGAGGCTAGACAATCGGCGAGTTTTCATCAGTTTCTTTCTCTAGAAAATAATTTTCTCGCAGATTCAGAAGTTGTTGAAGTGTGGACGTATAGAATGAGTGTCACATTTCACTGACAGATTCAATCGTTCAATTTTATTTCCGGTTCCGGTATTTCAAAATATAAGGAAAAAATAAACACATGCATATAATTAAATTTCCTGTCGTTGTTTCCTCTCTTCACTCGTACTTTTTGGTACTCTTCGGGAAAACGGAAACTACTATAATTTATTGTTTTGTGGAGCGTTGGTGAGCCCAAAGAAGAAGAAGCTGCGTCCCCCTATCATAAATTTCCTTTTTTTTCTCTTCGTCCCCGCCCGTTTCCTTTTTTCCATTTTCCATTTCGGTCACTCTTCCACAGCTTCGTCCATTTTATGGGTTTCCAGAAGACGATATCGAGCTTCAGGCATCAATATTTTACGGGGTTCTAAATTATTTTATGAATTGCTTTTAGAGCTTTTAGAGCTGAGCAATAGAAGCTCTGGAACCTGAAAATATCAAAAATTATACGATTCTATTTTTCGATAACAGATGACTACTATAGAATGTCTAACGTTGTTCGTACAACTGAAATAGAAAAATTTCTGTTTTGTGCTGGAGAATAGAAGTAGCATTGATGAATGGGGGATAGGGGAAGAATACGAGGATTCTAAAAATGTTCAGTTTTTTACATTTGAGTATGAGGAGAAGTCTAGGTAAACAAAATTCAGATAGAAATATCAAAGAAATCCTAGAAATCCTAGGATTCACTTTGAGATTTGGAATACAAGTCTCGGTTGACTTAATGAGCAAGCTTTTTGAGTTTTGTCTTTTTGAGTTTTTTCTTAATGAGCAAGCTTTTTGAGTTAAATTCAGGAGAATTGGATAATTAGAAAACTTAAATTTTTTTATTTATGGAAGTTTGGAATATTTCAAGTTTTTTGGGTTTCTTCGGAATTTCGGAAACTTTCGAAGTTTTCGAAATTTGTTATTTTTATAGAGTACCATTTGGTACCGTAGTCGAAACGATACGATTCCCTACGAAACCAGTATTTCCTCTAATAGAAGTCCATCCAACCAGTCAAACTCGAGCTCAATTATCTCGATTCATGTGAAAGCTATACAATTATTGTCAACTGATATTAGGTTGGCGGGAAAGTCTTTGTCACTTTTTCAATAGTTTATTTCTCAAAGAAAAAATAACCGAATAATTAATTATATTGTCCATCATTATCAACAACATGTCTCCAACGTTCCCTCAATTTATGGATTCCATTGCGGTAGAATCCAGCCGGGCGTGAGGCAAAGTATTGTTTGAGTGCCGCTTCGACCGCTCCACGGGAATTGAAGCTTCTTCCTTCGAAGGCACGTGTCATATCGCCAAATAACCAATAGTCGGAAGGAGCAAGATCAGGAGAATACGGGGGGTGAGGGAGAACATTCCATCCATATCCCATCAGCTCCTGCTTCACTTGTTTCGAAACATGTGGGCGAGCGTTATCATGTTGATAGTACACTTTCTTGTCTTTCAGGGCCGAACGGTCGACTGCTTTCTTGAGGTTTCGTAGTTGAGTAGTGTAGAGGTCTCCAGTTATTGTTTTGCCCTCGGGCAGAAGTTCCCAGTAGATGGGGCCGTCCACTCCCCACCACACAGAGAGCATAACTTTTTTCGGATGAAGGTCGGGTTTTGGGACATCCTGTGGGCTCTCTCCTTCTCCAACCCACTGGGATTTCCTGTGGTGATTATCGTAGAAGACCCACTTCTCATCTCCGGTTATTAGCCGGTCCAGCCATCGATCGCCCGCGTGGAGAGTGAGAAGAGTAATCGAATCGTCGACTCGGCGGTCAAGGTTGGCTTGAGTCAGGTGATGAGGTATGAATCGACCAAAAAGTTTTCTCATTCCAAGAGACTTCAAACCTTCAAGGACTGTGCTATGGTGAACTCCGAATGTGACAGCTAGTTCACGGCTAGATTGAAATGGATCCGATTGCAATGCGTGCTTCAGCTTGTCCAAATCCAACTCACGGGGTCTCCCAGAGCGATCCTTTTCATCGAGCGAGAAGTCATCTTTTTCGAAACGATGGAACCAATTGCGAATAGTATTGTAGTGAGGGGCATGTGTGTTGTACACATTCTTCAAGAAAGTTTCCGAATCCTTCATCGTGGTGTGAGATAGGAAGAGGTAAATCAAAACATGTCTGATGTGAATAGCAGTGGGAACAAACATATCGTTTCAATTACAGATGAGGAGCAGGGAAGGAGATGGGGACTTGTTTATATGGAAGGTTCTTATCACCTTGTTATTCACTAGAGTCGATATCATACACAGCCTCCATATACGAGAACAGTGATTAAACAAACAGAGTGACAAAGACTTTCCCGCCAACCTAATACAATTTTGGTGATTTTATTATAAATAATTTATCAGTTAAAAATGTTTTATATCTGTCAGAAGAATCGAGATAATTGAGCTCAAAGTTGACGGCTTCGTTGGATATACAGTAACAGTCTGTTAACAGTCTGTTTCCACACAGCAAGACGATTCCCCACAAAACCAATGACCCTCAAACCAATAGAAAAAATGAACATCATTCGTCCTCCTACTTAATCCCAGCTCCCTTTCCAACTGCAGCTTCTGTCATCAATCGGTCATGTATCATTGACCAATTTCGTTCTTCTTCTCCTTCTTTTTTCTAGCCCATCTTCTATTCTTCTTCTATTTTTTGTGTCTTTCTTCCATATAACTAACTTAATTCGTACTCTTTTTCTTCTTTTTTCGTCATTTTCGTTTCTTCCAGTTTCTAGCTTCTTCTCTTCCTTTTCTTCTTCTTCTCGGTCCCGCCCGTTTTCATAATTTCTTTTTTCTCGCCCCCAGTACATATTTTCTGAAAAAGTGCCAAACACAAAATGTATGAAAAGAATCGCCGATGAACTCCTATTTCTCTTCTTTTCATTTCCCTTTTTTGCTCTTTCTCACTTTCCTCCTCCCAAGAGACTTTTGTGAATGAAGTCCCCATTGAAAGGTGTGAAAAGAAGGGGCAATCTATCTTTTTTCTTTTCGTTGGTCCGGTTTTGCCATATGCACCCCTCGTTTCATTTATATTTGAGTGAGAAGAACTGCTGGTAAAGAAGAAGATGAAAAGGAAGAAGAAGAAGAAGAAGCATCCAGAATGACACCAGCACCACCGGAAGGGAAAAACGAGGAAAAACGAGAAAACGATTGGGCGAAGATCCAAAGAAAAATGTGTTCCTCGGGGGGATTTACCACCCTAGCACATCTTCCTGAACATACACGTGTCTCAAGTTTTTTTCTCTGTTGAATGCCCGGTTTTCTACACTTTAGAGCCATATTTTTGAAGCGTTGAAACTTCGAGTGGTGTATGTTTTTAGACATGTAGAAGAAAACTTACAGATTGTGAAACCAGCTATTTCGGAACTCAAACACATTCTTGATCTATGAAATATTAGTTACTTTATTTTATTCCGTAGCTTACCTCTGATGGTACCAGAAATTTCCGGATTCCATAGGATTACCAACTCCGTTTTATTTCTCTCTGTATTTAGAATTCTAAATTCCGTATGAAACTATTTTATTCCAGATTACGGATTCCGGATTCAGTTAATATTGATATATTCCAATTTTTGCGGACTGAATTTGTTTTATCCGGTTTCCATTTTCCAAAAAAGGCATTCCGAACATCTCTGGACAGTTCCTTCAAAATTTTGATGTCTCTAATTTTATTACGGTCACTCCAATCTTTTTCTCATCTTCCATTTCCTTCATCTTTTCCGGATTCCGTATTCAGGAATACGGAATCCTTTAAAAATTATTTATTCCGGTTTCCAGATTCCGGATTCCGTAAAAATATTAAATAATTCCGGATGCCGTGAATTTTTTGTCCGGTTTCCGAATTCCGGATTCCTACAGAATTATTCATTCCGGATCTCGATATAAATTTTAATCCGGATTCCAGATTTCGTTTTCCAAAAAAGTCATTCTGGACATCACTTGATACATAGTACCTTTAAAGTTTTGATATCTGTCATTCTACTAGGCTCACTCCGCTCGTTTTCTCCCTTTCCATTTCTTTATGCTGCCATACCTTAAAAAGAGTTTTCAGAAACCATGCTCTTCTTCAACTTGATCCTAACCTTTCTTCCAATTCTTGTCACATCATCTTTCGACGAAGACTTGATCATTGAACGACGACCACACCATGTGGATTGGGAGGATCTTTTCATGGAATACAATCGATACAGTGCTCCAAATCGAGCCAAACAGCAAGTCAATGTGTCAATTGAGGTCATTGCCATCAGAAGCGACAAGATTTTGTTTGAGATTAATCAGGATTGGAGGGACGAACGATTACGATTTGTTGGAGTGGCGCGGGTTCCGGTAAGATAGTCGGAACAAGGGGAAAAAAAAGAAAATATGTAATTCAGGTACCGCCTCATATCCAACCATGGTATCCAGACACGTACATTCGAAACGGATGGGATGTTGTGATGGAGCAGAAAAGCCTGGAATTGAACTACGATGGAACATTCCAGCTGAAACAGAAATATCAAGTTGGAATAGATTCGGGAGATAACAATGTAAGAATGGTTTTCATTTTGTTCGTACAAATCGAAGTTATTATAGGAACTGACTCTGGTGATTTCCTCTTTTAACAACTACGGTACCGAAAGAATTCATTACAACCTTGTTGATTCCAAAATCGATCTTCAAAGATATTCACACATCAGCTCAAAGCAAGTTTTGAGAAAGTCAGATACAATTCACTTCGATGATATCCACATCACGATTCACCCGAATTCAATTAATACTTCAATCATTGCTTCAAAGGAAACCACTATCATCAATAACTCCACCATCTAACTTTATTTTCCCCTATCCAGATCACCAGATCTCCAGAATACTCCACGTGTATACGCTTTGAAATCTCTTCTTGCTTTTGGCTCTTTTTCGCTCTTCTCTTCTGTTTCTCATATCAATAATTTATTTTGAATGTGCATAAAATAAATAACAAAAAAAGAAATTAAAATGCATCCTAATCGAGATCAAACATTAATCACCGGAATGGATTGGACATTGGAAAAGAAGGGTCGATGAACAGAAAGAGGGAAAAGATAAAAGAGAAACTGTTTAATTTGATGGTTTTACACGACGGAAAACCGATTTTTTGGCCATTTTCTGGATGTTTTCATCGTCGATAGTTTGCGAAACAACCAGATGTACTATGTTGGACTGTTGAACATCGTATAGATTATTGAAGAACAGTACGAGAAGACATGAAAGCTCCAACATACAGATTGTTGGTGAAACTGAAAAATAACAAACAGTAAAACCTTTATTAGAAGGGTCCTCCGAGATGGGCTTGTGAAAATATAAAAGCCCCAGTAATAGAGGGGTTTTCCGTATGGTTTCAGTGAAATACATATATTCCGAAAATTTCAAAATTTCAAAACCATTGCTAAGCTCTCTTTTATAACTTGCAGTTTAGGTAAAATTCAGAGACCTTGGAACAAGAAGGGCCTCCCTTTCTAGCGTAAAACCTGTAATAGTAGGACCCCTCAACTTTTAACTTTGAGCCAATTTCTTTCGCCTCCTGTTGAAGATATTAAAAAGTTTTCAGCTGATAAATTTTTTATCATAATATCGAAAGTTTTTTGTCAGTTGACACATTTTTGATATCTTGTATAGAAGCCAGGAGAATTGAGCTCAAACTTGCCAGTGTGCGGGCCCTTCTCTTATAGGTTTTACGGTAATACAGGTTTTAGGGTGGTAGAGGCAAAGTCGCGAATAACTTACCAAAGGTGTCACACTGAACATTTTCTATAAAATCTTGAACATTCGATGTCAAAGGAATATGTGCAATAATCAGAATAAATAATCCAAACGTTCTTATTATCGTTGACAACCCGATTTGCTGAAAAATAGAAAAACACGAATGATCTTCTTACAAATGAAAAGCTAACCTCTGTGAAATTTCTTAGCAAAAGTTTCATCATCGATAAAATCATTGCAATTGTAAAGTAAATACTGCTATATGGGATATCTGTAATTATAATTGATGTATTATAATTTCCAGGAGTTCCACTTACATTCCATTTCCATTGATACATGAAGTGTGAGGACTGCGAAATAGGCAATGTATAAAATAACTTCGTTGCAAAAATATAAACTTCCTAAAATTGAAAATATAGTTTTAGGATTTTCACAAATATTAGGTTACCTATCACTACTGAAGACCATGTGCGGTTTTCAATTACAAGTGATTTGGCGAGAATAAAGGAGTTGAACACAAAAGGAAGAAAAACAAACAAGATACCGTATCGTAAGGATGTCTGAAAATACTTGGTCTGATATAAAACAGTAATTTTTATGAGGAGGTGATAATCGTTGGATTCTTTGGAAGCTTGTATCTCAATTAAATCAGTTTTCCCTAACGTCCTCTTTTTTTTCACGAAACTTCCTAGTCTCCGATTATCACATCGCACTCCACAATAGGAGGTCACAATTTAGCCCTTTAACAAAACACATCCAAGCTATCCTTATCATTTTCTATCGTTTTTCTCATATCTATTCTATTGCCGAAATGTGAAGCATCACGGCTTATCTATGATCTCAACAATAGCCTATTCATCATCCCCAATATTGTCTAATTCTTGTTTTCTCACCTGGACGCTAGCGAATAATTGTGTGGAGCGATATATGGATGTTGTCCATCCATTTATAAGTGGTACCTTACGAGGCTGAAATTGAACAAAAAAAGTTAGATAGGAAATATAAAGCATACTTACATTACAGAAATTGTGATCATTCATACCAAATATGTAGGAACTCTGATTGTTCACATACAAATTGACCCACCATGAACCAAGATTCCATTTTGTGTTATTTTTCCAAGGAATCCATATTTGTCCGTTTCCTGTTTCATTCCACTGAAAATTGATTATTTGGAAGAACAGTAATCGAAAATTTTGGATTACTGTGGGATCCGTAATAGAAGGACCCCCCGAATTTTCAGCTTTGAGCCTATTTATCTCGATCCCTGTCAAAGATATAAAAAGAGTTGTCAGCTAGTAAATTGTTCAACACAACGTTACGAACATTTTATCAGTTGACACATTTTCGATATTTTGCATTGGAGTCAATAAAAATTTGCAAGAACTAGACAGTGTGGGGGATCTTCTATTACAAGTTTTACAGTATTCTTTTTCTTTTTCATTGAGAAGGTTACCTGAAAGTTGGATCTAATGTATTGAGTCATATTTGGTTGATTATCATATTTGGTATGATGTGGATGAGCAGCAACCCATAATCCAATTAAAAACAATGAAAATGGAACCATCCCAAAAACGATAAGTGCAAAACGAAGAGTCATATGAATGTGAGCAAGCTCTTCTTCATCTTCTGGAGCTCGATACGGATGATCTTTCCGATGGCTTTGTCGTAGATGCTTGTGTATTGTCATGCCTAATAAAAATCAAAGGATTAGAGGAACAGTTTATTTCTGGAACAGTTTTATTTGAAAGAAAAACAGGAACATGATATAGTTGATATGTTTCACAGAGACACCTAAAATGGATCTATAATGATGAGGGCGTGAAGAAAGAAGAACGCAAAAAACCCGTGCATGACACAGTGTGATAACTACGATAAATACAGTATGAATCAGATGTTTCAACTGG